AGACCAAATTAGACGGGCTAACTAAACCTCTGTCCTCTTATTACTGTGATTCAGAGGTCATATTACAAAGCTCTTTGCCCTTCCCTTGCCCATGGATAAATGTGGGCATGGCTTTATTCCTGTGGTGCACTGCAGCAGAGCTCCGGACAAAGCTCGAGAGCCTGTGTCATTACACGATCCCTAGTGTCGGATGGAGACAGGCCTACTGAATTGGATTTTTTCTTACATGTATTAAACCACTATGTGAAAGTAAGTTATGTGTACTTGACAAAGCCAGAGCCATTTGATATTGGTAATTGCCAACATGGTAAAAGAAGAGACTCCAAATAAACTTATTTTGTAAGTAAAGATAAGCAGATATTATTTGAAACCCAGTGAAGCAGTTATCCCTGGAAAAGCTTCTTTTTGGGTTATAGTGCAAGTTGCTACATCAAGTCCTTGGCTGCTACAGTGGATGTGAAAATTTACTAAGTGTCAGAATCCTTTGGAAATCTGGTTAAAACACAGCAGGGGAGCCCTGCCCTCTAGTACAGGGTGGGCTCTAAGAATTAGCACTTTTAACAAGTTCCCAAGTGATGCTGTGGCTGCTGGCCCTGGGACTACCATCTGAAAAATCTTGGTCTAATGTATTCTTTGGCTGAACAATCAAAATTTGGGCCTTCAAACACTCCCCTGTGGAACCAAACAGGAGATTGAAGCCAGAGCCTTCATACTGAGCTACCTCCCAACCCTTTTTTATTTATATTATTATTTTGAGACAGCATCTTACTAAAATGCCAAGGCTGGGCTTAAACTTGCATTCCTCCTGCTTCGGCATCCTGGGATTACAGCTGGATTCAACCACAATTCTTAACTACTCTGAGTTTGGTTACCGGAGTATGTGTTCACCTATACATTTACTGCTTTGTATCAAGTATGATGTTAAACTGACGTATGGGATTAAACATTTCAAAAGTTTTTGTCAAGGGCTTTGAGATTCAACAGATTGGAAAATCAGCACACCATATTTAGTGAAAAAATGAAATTATACTTGAATACATTTGGACTCTGGTGGGCTTTTCTTAAAAATCTACAGAATCATAGTAAAGAGTACTTTTATTTGGTAAAGGGGTATGGTAAATTCTAGATTTGAGGGCCATATGCCAGTTCAGGGGTTTGCATAGTAAACAATCATCCTATTTTTTTTTTTTTTTTTTTTTTTTTACTGGGGATCAAACTCAGGACCTCGTGCTTGCCACACAGGCACAGAACCACTGAGCTAAATCCTTGCCCAAATCATTTAACATTTATATAATACCTAATAACTGAAAACTTGCAAGACTAAATTAATGCTACTGAAAAAGGAAACCTAACTGAGCAAACAATTCTACAATAACATGATTTAGACATCCTAATTTTGTCCAGGAATGCTTTTTACACAGTACTCTAAAGACCACTATAAACATGGGTGTGCATATATCACTGTGGTATGATTAGTATCGTGATGAAATATACAAACTGAGATCCTGTGTATCTCTTGGTGTGGATAGCTGGTGGCTATCAGTCTTTTTTTTTTTTCCCCTCATTGAGTTTATTGGTACATTTTAGATATACAATACAGTTACATTCACATCAAGATCTTGTACCTTTACATGACAGGTCTTGGTTCTCATTTTTTCCCCTTGTCCCTGCCGTCCCTTTACCCCCTCCTCCCCTCCCCATTTACAAACACTTTATTTCCATTTTTTTTTGTTTTCTCATATTTTTTTCTTTTCCCTTATTTCCTTTCCCCTACCCTTTCCACTTCCCCTACACCTTTAGCCCTTTTCTTCCTATTTCACATTGTCAGTTATACCATTAGGATCTTATGTACCATTATAGTTTTTCACACCAGAGAAACTATTCAGTATTTACACGTGTGACTTATTTATTTCACTTGAGAGTATGACCTCAATATGTATCCATTTTCCTATGAATGACCCTAGTTTATCATTTTTATGGCTGTGTAGTACTCCATTTTATAGAAAAACCACATCTTTATCCAGTCTCCAACTGATGGGCAAATGGGCTGTCTCCAAATTTTAGCTATTACAAACTGTGCCACTATAAACATGGGTGGGTGCGCATGTATCACTGTGGTATGATTCTTTTAATTCTTTTGGAAAGATACCTAGCAGAGGGATGGCTGAGTCAAATGGAACCTCTAGTCCCAGCTCTTTGAGGTATCTCCATATTTATTTCCATAGTGGTTGCACCAGTCTGCACTCCCACCAACAGTGGAGTAGGGTTCCTTTCTCCCCACAACCCCACCAACATTTGTTATTGTTTGATTTCTTGATAGCAGCCATTCTTTGTGGGGTGAGGTGGAATCTCAGTGTTGTTTTCATCTGCATCTCTTGAATGACCAGTGGTGTTGAACATTTTCTCATATATTTACTTTATGCTTTTATTTCTTTGTCTGAGAAATATCCGTCTTTGATATAGTTATATACCAATTACATTACAGGCAGCTTTTGTTATAAATGACTAAAAAGCAATGTAGTATAAAATTCATGTCCCAAATAAAAAATATCCCTTGAGTAAAATTTGGCGCATGCACACGTGTGTGTGTGTGTGTGTGTGTGTGTGTGTGTGTGTATTTTTTGTACCGGGGATCAAACTGAGGTCCTTGCACTTGTAAGGAAGGCAGCAAAACCACTTAGCTAAATCCCCAGCCCTTTGGCATATATATTTATATATTTATACACACACACACACACACACATATATACACACATACACACAAAGTGTGTATGTATTTATACCTATATATGTAACTTTAGTTTGTTGATAGGTTAAGAAGCAGCAAATACTTCTCTGGTTTTTGCATTTTTCTTTTAGACAAAGACAACTTTTGGAAACTACCCAGTACTCAGAATAGTTGCTGAGTTGTTAATCTTTTTCACTCCAATTCAATTAAATAAAGTTTATAAAATACTCTTTGTGAAAACTACATAGAAAGTGACAAATGAAAATACTAAGTGGCTGAACAAACCTGTTAGCAATATAAACACTTTATATAAAGTAAAATTTGCCACTTTATATAAAGTGATGATTACAGATTACAAAGGCAGTTTTTTTAAAACATTATATTCTCTTTTTTTAACCATATCCACAGAAGAATATCTTATCTTCAAGATAAAATGAATTACAAGCCATTTAGTAACATTAACTCTAATATTAACCAGAGTCAGGCATACAGATGTGAGTTTAAAAATGGAAATTTCAAAACTTCTATATATTTGCTGATGCCATCATGATAAAGGGTTATTATAAGTTTAATATTTTCAAGTGTATGATGGTTCAAAATAGTTTTGCCATGTGCAAATCCTGTTTACCAAGAAACAAGCTAATATATACTTTTTGTTCGATCAAAAGAATGTGACTAGTTTGATAATAAAATTACAGGTGTGTGTATGACAGGCTAACCCCTATGGTGTTAAGGATTGCCCTTATTCAACTCCTGGTCAGGGTCTGGTTTCCTTTCACGACAACACTCATCTTCTTATCTATGGATATACCCTGGTCGTTGGTCACTGTGAACATTCCTTGGCACTTTTTTTTTTCATGTAAAAAACAGGTTTATTTGAAAAAATTGAGAGTGAAGGTCCTGTAGGAGTAATCTAACCTTGAATTGCCTCTCATTTATTCAATACATAAATTATTTGCTAAGCCTTAATATCTTAACTATTAGTTAAAATCAATCTGGAGCCATAGCTCACAGATTATAGTGATGCAGAGGTTCCAAATTGCTGTTCCAGAGGTTACTACTACTGTTTGCCTCCTTCCTCCTTGCCCAGCAGCCACTGATACACATCAGTTCCACTAAGCGGATATATTCACATGTCAGTGAGCCTAGGAAGGAGAAAAGAGGGCAAGGAAATGTAAACAATAGAAGAATTATATATAGTGTTTGAAATACTGGCAATATTAAAATATTTAATTTAAGCACACTGCTCTTAAATGATAACCATGACAAAAGGAACAAGTATCTCATCATGAACATGTTCCCCAAGTGGCAAATCCCATACCATAGTCTGTTTTCCACAAATTCTTACAAGTTATTTTGGTACAATGTTCCACTGTAAGGCATTTTTTGTATGTTGCTTTGCTTAGCTGTACTTTGACTTTTTTAAAAAAAAATGCATAGTACATTTTTTGATCTTCAGCATAAAATGGCCTGTGCTGTATATTTTCTTTTTATGACAAAGGGTTCTATAAAAATGTAATCAGGTCAATGACTGATGAACCCATTTATTTATTTCTCTACCACTTTAAAGAATATTGTTCAATGATTTGCACTGCATCTTTACAGAAGCTTGGTCTACACATTCAAGTTCAGCAAAACTCATTCTGTTCCAGTGAACATTTTTTGAACTCTGTAATGGGAATTTACATTCTGAGGAACTTATGCTCCCCCTATCTTTTTTAAAGATCTTCCTGTGTAGCCGAGGCTGACCTTGAACTCACTGCATAGGCCAGGCTGGCCTCAAAGTCACTGCAATCCTCCTTCCTCCGCCTTCCAAGTGCTAGGACTAATGGCCTGTACCACCACATCGCGCTGTTCCTGGTTTTAGGAGCTAAAGCGCTGTGAGGAGATTGCAGCACAGACTCACATAGCCTCTACGAATCATTTAGAAATGTGGTTGTAGAAGGGTTGGGAGAGAAAAGAAGGCAACCCCAGCAGAGGACCCCTCTCCTCTCCCGTGGTCTGGGCAGTCTGGGAACAACAGGTGAGGATAGGGAGGAAAAGATGGGTTAAGGCTGGTGGAGAAAAAGCTGGGTGAAAAACAATGAATGATTTTGAAAGTTTGTATGAACCCCCTTCGCATATTTAATCTCAGTAAAATCCAAGTAAGGTGAAAATACGGGTTCTGACTTGTGGTTAAGGTACTTTCAGGCTCAAAGCTGAAATGAAATGGATAGGTTAAATTTACAAAGAAAACACTATAAAGCTTCTCTTTTTTCTTTTTCTTTTTAAGGACAAAATAGAAGAACAAAATGGAAAATATGCTCTTTTGGTTGGTATTTTTCACCCCTGCATGGACTTTCATTGACGGATCTGAAATGGAGCAGAATTTTATGTGGCACTTAAGTAAAGTTCCCCGGGTTGTGAGTGAAAGCACCTTCTACCTCACCAGCCCCTGGTTTGAGGCAGATGCCAAGATGGTGACAAACAGAATGTGTGGCATCGAGTGCCAGAAGGAACAGCCTGCTCCCAGCCTTTCTGAGTTGGAGGATTCTCTTTCATACGAGACGGCCTTTGAGAATGGTACCCGAACCCTAACCAGGGTAAAAGTTCAAGGCTTGGTCCTGGAGCCCACTCGGAATAGCACCGCCAAAGCAGCCCCCGTTAGGAGAAAGAGACAGGTGTACGGCACAGACAGCAGGTTCAACATTCTGGACAAGAGGTTCTCAACTAACTTCCCCTTCAGCACAGCCGTGAAGCTCTCCACCGGCTGCAGCGGTGTTCTCGTTTCCCCTACTCACGTCCTGACAGCTGCCCACTGTGTCCATAACGGCAAGGATTATGTGAAGGGCAGTAAAAAGCTAAGGGTAGGATTGCTGAAAATGAGAAATAAAGGCAGCGGCAAAAAGCGTAGAGGTTCTAAGAGGAACAGGAGGGAAGCTAATGGTGGTAACCAAAGAGAAGCAACCAAAGAGAGTCTAGAGGAGAGAATTCAGGGCGGAAGAAGAAAGAAAGAATTCGGTGGGGGTCAGAGAGGAGCAGAAGGGAGGCCCTCCTTCCAGTGGACCCGAATCAAAAGGACCTACATTCCGAAGGGCTGGGCAAGAGAAGGCAGTGCTGACCCTGCCCTGGACTATGATTATGCTCTCCTGGAGCTGAAGCGCGCTCACAAGAAGAAATACATGGAGCTGGGAATCAGTCCAGCTGTCAAGAAGGTGCCTGGCAGGATGATCCACTTCTCTGGATTTGACAGCGACAGGGCTGATCAGTTGGTCTACAGGTTTTGTAGCGTGTCTGACGAGTCCAGTGATCTCCTCTATCAGTATTGCGATGCAGAGTCAGGCTCCGCTGGCTCCGGGGTCTATCTGCGTCTGAAAGAGCCAGACAAAAAGAAGTGGAAGCGCAGAATCATCGCCATCTACGCCGGCCATCAGTGGGTGGATGTGCACGGTGTGCAGAAGGACTACAACGTGGCTGTGCGCGTCACTCCCCTGAAGTACGCCCAGATCTGCCTCTGGATCCACGGAAACAATGCAGACTGTGCTCTTGGCTAGGAGAAAGCTGGAAGAGAGTTTACATATCATCTAAATTGCAGAAAAAAGCCTGTTCTGATTAAGGAGGTCGCCTCATAGGTTATACCTGACCTTGAGCCTATCAACAGCATTTCAGCATTTTTACAAATTTACTTTTTCAAAATTAGGATACGTTCACACATTTAAAAATGTTTAGGGACAGATATTGAAACATCAGATGGGTGCCTCAATGCTAAGTATATTCTTTTTACACAGTGGTAAGTTTTATTTGCAAGAAGACTTTTATAGCCTTTGTCTTCCTAGAAATTAGACACTTTGAAAAAGCTTCATCCTGCTACCATAAAACATGATTTCTTAGTGGACTTAGTAAAAGAAGAATCCAACAGGATAGTACTTGTGTGTAAAATGTGAAACTGCACATACAAAAGTAGACAGGAATGCAATTAGACTCAAGAATGAGAGGAAGATTAACAGTTCGTATTGCTCTCAGATGGATTCATTCAGCTCAGGCCCTCCGTGTTTTTAGTTTTTTGTTGGGTCTGAGAAATCTAGGCTTTTGTTTTTTAAAAAGAGCTACACATCAGAAGAAGTGGCAAACTTTGTAAACAAAAATATTGCTTTTAAAAAGAGAAATTGTAGCATCTATTTAAAATGGGATACTTTGTTCTATGAAAGAAATTAGAAAAGAAATAGGTAAACAGACATTTTTAAAAACTTTTATTTAAAACTCAAAATATGAACTTCTGTATGTGTAGGGAAGACATTTCACAGATTATGTATTGAAACCACATCATTTTATATATACATTTTACTGTTTAAGAGGTGCTATGTTTTTAAGGCTAAGAATTCTGTAATTTTTTTTCAAAATTTTTCTCTCTTGATAAAGTCACCTTTTTCTTTTTCTTCCTTTCTTCCTGCCCTCCTCCTCCCTCAAACCCAGGGCCTCTGACAGGCCAGCAAGTTCTCTACCACTGAGTTACACTCCCAGCTCCAAATGCCACTTTCTTAACAGGACCAGTAGTGTGTTTGGGTGAATTTTCTGATTAGTAATTTTAGATATTTCTTTTACTAAACATTGTATAATTTACAAATAGGATTTTTAAAAGACAAGCTCTCACTATGTAATTTAGGCTGGCTTTTTAAACTTGCCACAATCCTTCTGGATCAGCCTTCTGAGTGCTGAGATTACAGGTGTGCACCACCATGGCCTGCTACAAATAAAACTTTTGAAAGTAAGTTCTGGTTATCTTCATTAGGGATGAAGGCTGCACAGTCTAGCTAACGTGGCATAAGCAGGAAGAGGTCAGTAGCTCTCCTTGGGCAAAATGCAGAGTGGGCATCAATACAAAGTTCTTGAATTCAGCAAATGTTTGCAGAATGGCTATAAAAGGGAGTTAGTTCAGGGCACTGTGCTTAAGGAGTTTTACTGACCTGTAATCTAGTACACCCTAAAATGCAGGAATTAGAGGCCTGATTTTTGGTCTGCTCTTCCTGGCTACATCCCCTTCTTTCAAGATACACCCAGCTCTGACTTTTGCCAGGGCACAAATTTATTTTAATGATTATTTTTTAGATATGTCAACATGAGAGATTACACCCTTGATTAGTATGCAAAGAAGTATTTGATTAGATTATCATAAGTGATATATTTTATAAATAGTTCTCCAAATACCTGAAATTCAACATAATGCATATTCTTTTGTAATTTTGTTAAACTCAATAAAAATCCTTTAATCAGTTATAACTCTTACAGTATCTGAATATATGTTTTACTTAAAGAGTTTTAGCAAGTGGTAACTCATTTCTTTAAAAAGTGGTCGGGGATTTAGCTCAATGGTTCTGGCACCTGCCTCACAAGTGCAAGGTCCAGAGTTCGATCCCCAGGACCAAAGGAACAAAATAAAGATCTATTTTACTCTAAGTAAATCTCACTGCTAAGTATTTTATTATTGCTTCTAATGGATTAGAGCTATAGACACAAAAACTTTGGTCATTTTATTTTGGGGGGAGAAACAGCTATAGGATCACTGCAACCAAAAGTATTTCAGGTGAATTGTGCATTTTTATACACTTGTAAACACACATCATCTTCAAGATTCTTCAGATGTAATTTCTGCGATTTGAGTATATTCTGAATAACAGCATTCTTACTACAGTAGTTTGGTGCTTAAGGTTAATATGTATTTTCTTAAAATCATTAGCCAATAAACTTGTTTTCTTTTAGACAGGGTCTTACTACATAACCCAGGCTAGTTCCAAATTTGTGACCCTCTGGCCTCAGCCTCCCATGTACCTAGGGATTATGTATGATAACAAACTTCCTTTCTAATGTACTTTTCAAAAATACAAAATTTTGTTCACTTGATTTATAGTTTTGTTGAATCTCTCATGTTCGTTACTAAAAAATCGTGAATCTTGTATGAAATTTTTAATGACCACTAAACCGTACTGTATTAATCAGAAGATTTTGTTTCACATACTTTTTCTGTTATGCTTGTAAGATTTGAAAGTTAAATCGGACTCACTTAGCTAACCATTCTCACACTTATATGTCTTCTATGTCCGAAGGACTATACTGACTTACTGCTTTGAGAATCTTGTCACTGGTTGATTTCAAATGACTTTACAAAATAAGTAAGGTTTAAAATTGTATATTTTTCCCCCTTTACCTAAATGACATTTCCTTTTTTTCTTGCTCAGGTGGATATGAGCAGAAACAACTTTAAAAAAATTTTTTTCTTTTTGATATGCTTCTTAGTTCATTTTGAAAAATATTTAGGTGTACGTGTAACTGTCTTAGTCCATTTGGGCACAATAACAAAATACTTTAGCCTGAGATTTTATAAACTGCAGAACCTGATTTCTCACAGTTTGGGAAACTGTCCAGGGTAAAAGTGTCACTGATTCAGTGTCTACTGAGGGCCTGCTCTTCACAGATGATAACTTCCTGCTCCATCTTCATGTGATGGGAGCTGAACAAATGCCCTCAGGCCCTTCTACAAGGGGAATAATCCTACTTATGAGCAGGGAATCACTCAGGACCTAGCCATCTTACTGAGGTCCCATCTCTTAATATCATCACTATGGAGGACAGGCGTGAACATAGGAATGAGGTCAGGCACATTTCTGGACCTCAGCAATGAATGAAGCCCAGAGTTACAGAATTTCACCCTTAGATTTTTTTTTTGAGGTGGGGTCTTGCAATCTATCATGCTGGCCTCAGAACTCATGATAGTAAGAAATTTTCCTACTTAGTCCTACTAAGTAGCTAGGACTACAGGCATGTCACCATTCCTGGATAATTTTACTGTTTTTCAGTATTTGGGATTGAGCTGTATCTCCAGCCCTTTTTACTTTTGAGATAAGGTCTTGCTAAATTGCCCATGCTTGCAGTCCTGACTCAGCCTCCCAGAGTGCTGGGATTATAGGTGAACACCCTAAGCAATGGATAATTTTTACTTTCATTACTCACAGATAAAAGAAATCTTTGAAATTTTAATTTCAGAGATAGACTATTAGCCATTCAGGGACTTTCTGGGTAATCCGGCTTCTCCTTCTGGAAAGTAATGAAGGAAAGCTTCTTGCTGTGCTAAGCATCTTTCCTTTACTAGCCCCTCCCCTTCACTGAGTGAGGGAACTCGAAACATTTTGTTTTACAGTTTTTGCTTTACTTAGAATTTAAACTACTCTGAACCCAGATTCCAGATCACAAATCAACATAAACTCAAGAGATAGAAGAAAAAAATGTGCTGGGGTATACAGTACCAAAGAGGAAGTTGAGGAGAGGACACATGATTGTTTTTCCTTAAGACTACCTTGGTTCAATTAGAGAAATTTTTAGTTAACAATCAAAGAAGACACTACTGTTAAATTAAAACATTATCTTTATAATATCTATAAAAATGCTATTTATTTTTCATTTTAAAAATAGAATATATTTAGTTAGATTCTATTGCCAAAGTATTACTTTATCAAACAATTGCCTAACAGTAGAAGTGTGGTATTTTTGAGAGGGGAATGAATTTAGTATTCTGCCACTGTACTTAGAACATTTACTTAAAAGGCCTTCTTTGTGGCCTAGAAAAATAAGTGACACTATTGCACCCAACAAATGAGCAGTTGTGGCACTTCATGAGACCAGTATGCAAGTGATATGGTTCTATGAACAGATGTCCTCAGCCATCATCAGCCCACAAATAGCAGCATCTGTTTGTTTTTTTGGTGCCAGGGGTTGAATTCAAGACCCTGCACTTGCCAGGCAGGCGTGGCACCACTGAGCTACATCCCTGGCCCAAATAACAGCCTCTGTACCGCCAAATAACAGCTTAAGTTTTGGTGGAAAGTAGTATGTCTTAATGTCATAGGAGCACTTTTTATGATTAGTAACTAACTTTCTCAGTTCTTAGGCAAAATACTCTATGGCATTCCAATTGTTATTTAAAAAGTCTCTCTTCGGTAGAACCATGTATAACATACAAATACAGCATCATACTGTGGGCCCAGTGAATATATGATATTTCAGAGGTTTCCTCTGCCTACTGACTTTCAAATTTGGCTTCAACAGAAATGACTTAGAGCAGTGATGGTCAATCTTTCAGTGGGAACAGCCGGCTATGGCATGTATGCCATAGGTTTGCCATCACTGAAGAGCATTTAGGAACCCAGGTTCCAGAGCCCCCTGAAATTGGCCCTGGAATCCCTAAGAGTGGACCTCACAAATCTGTGTCTGATTAAGATCTCCAAGGAATTACACTGGTACCTTGGTTCACAAATTTAATTCTTTCCATGATTTTGGCTGCAGAATTTGTTCCATGATTCAAGCAACTAGAATGATGGAAAGATTTTATTTTATTTTATTTTTTGTACCGAGATTGAACTCGGGTCCTTGAGCTTGCAAGGAAGGCAGCAGCACCACTGAGCTAAATCCCCAGCCCAAAAACTAAATTTTTGAACCGAAGTACCACTATATGGTCAGACAAGGTTTGGCAATAGATAGATTCCTGTCATAACTTATCTTTTCTAAGTGAATTATTATCTCAACCTCTTGTGGCTGTCTTGTCAATGATGGCTTTTTCTTCTAGGTTGGTTGTTTTTCCTGCCCTTTTCCCCCTAGTAAATCATTTTAAATAGTTTTGGGAAATGAGTGATGGTATAAACTATCAAATACATGCACAACATTTTTTTCAGTATTTATATAAAATGTAAATAAATTTTATATAATTTTAATACTTTTTCTATAAGAAATGAGTAAAACTGGGCTAGGGATTTAGCTCAGTGGCACCGCGCCTGCCTCACAAGTGCCAAGGTGGTGAGTTTTATCCCTAGTAGAAAAAAAAAAAAAGAAATAAGTAAAATTAGAGAACACTTAATTGTTTGATTTATAAATCAATGACAAAATTCAATTTTATTTACTTCCCAGAAATTAGAGACTATATTTGCTTTTTATTTATAATCCATTTCACAGTACTGATCAATATAGTTCAACAAGTTTTTATTGAGTTCAGTCTTAGGCACCTAGGATAGATTTTTAAGTTCTACATTCTACCACTTCTCAAATAATTCACAATTTAGTAAGGAAGTCAGATATGCATACAGAAAAAGTAAATATTTATAAGGCACATTTATAAGGAGTACAGTGAAAGGAATCAGCTCTATCAGGGTGGGCAGGTATGATGAAAAGATTTCCCAGAACAGGTGACACAGGTTGAGTTTTGAAGAATGAGTTGCAGCTTGCTACCCTATCATAGGGGAACAGATGTGTCCTTAGGAAGAGCCTGTAGAAAGCTGTGAAAAGGTGACACTACAGCGTGTTTACTGCAGTGTTTTGAAATTGCTACATGAAAATAGTGCCCCCCTAGTGGTAAGGGATAGCAAGAAATGAGGCTCCAAGTTCCACGTCAGTGATGGTGAACCTTTGAGACCAAGTGCCCAAAATGCAACCCAAAATCCACTTATTTATTGTGAAGTGTCATCCCTGCAATTAAACCTGAGTACTGAGGCTTAGTTTAGAAAAAGAACTGTTATCTGATGTTTAGCTGCTGGGGCGACTTGGCTTCCGAGGGCTCTGTGTGCCCACTGGGGCATGTGTGCCATAGTTTGCCACCACTGCACTAGGTTAGGGATGGCTTGAATGGAATCCCGTAACAGGCAGACATTGATATAAGTCTTAAAATCAGGATAATACAGTTAAGTAGGATTTTGAGAGGAAACCCCCTGGCAGCATCATTTAGCCTGGGCTGGAGTGAGTTTGGATACAGATCAGAGACAAAGAGCCCAATAAAGAGGCTGCTGGAGCTGCTGTGCTAAGGAAATGGCAATGAGAATGGCAGGAGAGGGCGGTCTGTGAGGCACAGAGACGGCGGAATGCTTGGTGTATTATGTAGCTACTGAATGCAGGAGACAAGAGTTGAGGGTGTCATGACACACACACTCTTGACTGGGGAGACTAGGTAGTGAGACCACAATCAAGACAGAAAAACTAGACACAAGAAGGAGATAATGAACTCACCCTTACACATGTATGTTAAAAAGTGCTATATTTCCATTAAAAGCTTGACAACATCCATACTTAAGGAAAGCAATGACAGTTTTAAAAATTATGTGGTTCTATAATTAACTCATTAATACATAACCAGTAATTATACTTTGTTCTGGCAAACAGCAAGTGTATCTTTTTGTGCTCTAAATGAAATGCTTTTACAACTTAACTTTGAAGCCATATTTTTTTTTAACCTTGAGAGATATGAGAGATCTGAATTTGTGAAAATCTGATCCTACATTTACAGGTGAAATATTACATGTATGATCATAATTCTATTACCTGTCTTTCAATAATTTAAAAATCCACATGTCCCAAAGTACAGATGGTTTTAAAAAGTAACTTCAGCTTTTCGTGGGACGTTATTTATACAGTATTTCAGACTGTAAGGTTTAATTTCTTGTTTAGGCTTTAAAAATACAATGATGAGTTATAAAACTAATTAATACATCCCAAAGATATTTCCTGGGCCAAAGGAGAGAGATGAACCATAAGGATGTTGGCTGTTGGAAGGTAATGTAGTGTTAAATACTGGTTTAGTGGCAGATATGATCATTACGAGGTGATTTTCTCATCAGTAAGGACATCTTTGTAGGCCTTGCTCTTTCATGGGTTGCTATCTACAGGCCTTGCTGCTGTTACGTGCTATAGTTCTTGCAGCACAGACTTGCTCAACATTATCTCCATCCTCCAACTCTGATGGCTGCAGCCTGCACCACACTGTAATGTTAACTCTAGATATTTTTATCTTCAGTAGCATCTCTCACATCAGTTTAATTCATCACTAAATAGTTCTTGGTTAAAAACATCATTGTCAATACACAGAGTTCACTCATCAAACTTTTGATTTCCAAGTAGGAACACTTTCAATTCTGTCACTGGCCAAACACATCCATTATTATCACTTATTTATGTTCTTAAAGCTGTCATTAGATATTGGGGACTGTATCTAAGAAGGAGGCTCCAGAAAATGGAGTGTAACCTCTGTGCTGGAGGCTGTTTGTGGCTGGTCCAGATACCCTCTCCCAGCTGGTGGTACAACATGCCTGCTCTGTGTTGAATAAATGTGTTTATCTGTGGAACAGACACATTCACCATATTTTAAAACACATTTAGTACTCCTGGTGACTGTGAGTTATTAAGGAATATTATGATCAATTACTATTTTAATACTTTTGTCTCTTTTATCCTTTAGTAGTCTTAAATTTATAGGAAAAAAGAGAACAAAATCTATAATAAACAATCATAATAATTTTTAAAAACCCAGCAACATTTACTGAGTACTACTTTGTGCCAAGCATTTTCCACTCATTATCTCACTTAATAATGCATACAGAGATAGAAATCTTCCCCATTTCCCAGATGAGAAAACTTCAGTTTAGAGAAGTTTAGTTCCTTGCCTAAACTGACAGTGGGTGTTTGAGCAGAGATTCCCTTCAGTGTAGCCTGAGGCAGGACACATAATCCTAAATAAGCCCAAATTACTTAAAAAAGTAACGCGGGGGCACTGGAGATAGGCATTTGGAAAAGTGCTCAACAAATAATAGTGGTGGTCATGAGGCTATTATGTTCATAGACAGTTAAACCCTTGCCATTGTCACAACATATAAAAAATGATTCAAATATTTAAATCAGGATGAGTATTTAATAGGTGTGAATACTATTTAAATGTGCTGACAAAGAACTATTAAAACTAACAAAATAGAACCACCACATGATCCAGCAAGTGAAATATGCCAAGCAAAGAAAAAAAATCACATCGTATCACTTGCATGCAGAATAAAAAAGAAGTCAAACGCACATAGTAGAACAGTGACTATCAGAAGCTGGGAGGTGAGGATGGGAAATGCAAAGTTTCAGTTTAGGAGAAATAAATTTTTGAGATCTATTACACAGCATGTTAACTTTAGGTAATAATAAGGTATTACACATTTTTAAATTACTAAGAATTTTTTTGGTTTTGGTTTTTAATGTTTAAATTGACAAAAATGTTATAAATTTCAAACATGATGTTTTGAAATATGCATACACTGCAGAATGGCTAAATTAAAGTAAATACATATGTACTGCCTCATATACTTATCATGGGAGAATAAATTCTAAATGTTTTCTCAACAAAAAATAAGTTTATGAGGTGATGGATATGTTGCTTAGCTTGATTTAATTATTCCACATTGGATACATATATCTTAACACCACAATGTACCCCCCCATAGGTATAATTATGATTTGTCAGTTAAAAATAAAAAACAACTCTACATTTGGAAAGAAATGCACTATATGAAGGTTATTTTTTAGTAACGAGAAATACAACAGTAGCCCGCCAGTGTTCAGGTCAGTGGAGAACCCTAAAAACCGATAGACTTGAGTTCATTTCTCATGTACTTACCTGGCATCTCCAGAAGTGCCAGTCATTGAGGAACAGGAGGAGGTATTTCCTGCCTTTGAGGCTCAGAATGGCCCAACAGTTGACACTTGCTGATTATAATGCAATGTGTTAAGTACCACAAGGCGGGTGAAGGCTGTGGTCTGAGGAAAATGTAGAGGGTAGAGGTAGAATGCAGAGTCTTGGCACAGTCAGGAAGGAAATTTCAAGCAACAGGCCCTGTGTGGGCCAGCACAGTGCCCAGTATCCCCTTGGATTAACAGTGGTCGTACATGGAACTGTGTGTATGTGGTGTGTGGAGGTATGTGGAAGGTGGGCTGAGGCAGATGTGAGGCCAGAGAGATAGGTAAAAACAGCACCTAAATACTCACCCGGTAGAAGAGCACCATGGGTAAACTGGACCTGTCCTAAAAATGATCCCAGGAGGTTAGTCTTTTCAGTACTTAGAGGACCTCATCCAGTATCTCACATAGACCGTTCTCCTACATGGACATAATCTTTCCACAGAAAGGTCCTAATGTCTGATTTTTTGGTTTTTTTGAGACAGGGTCTCACTATGTAGTAGAGGCTGACCTGGATTGGAACTCACTATGTAGCCCAGGCTGGTCTCGAACTCATAGCAATCCTCCTGCATCAGCCTGCCAAGTGCTGGGATTACAGGCGTGTGCCCCCACACCCAGCTCCTAATGTCTGATTTTTAACTAACATTCATATAGCTCATAAGAATTTATACTGCATGAGCCATTCAATGCGGAAAATCAGCTTAAAAATAATGTAATATTAACTTTAAAATTTTTTACGACCTAAAACAGATTTTACTACAATGTGACCACAAAACTTTATCTAGTCAAACTGAAATCTGTAAAATCATACTACAAGCCACACTTGATAGCACATACCTGTAATCCCAGATAATTAAGACACTAAGGCAGGAGGATTTTGAGCTCAGGGCCAGCCTGGGCAATTTAGTGAGATCCTGGGTTCAATGCCCAGGATGGAAAAAAACAAACAAACAAAAAAAGAAACTATCAACTATTTCAAACAATTTTAAAATATAAATTTTAGGTAACTAAGGGAAAGGCAATTTAAAAATAGATACATAAAATATATTTCATATGGAAAATACTTATATTTGAGATAGGACTTTTCTTTTCCCAGTGGTGGGGGTTACTGAACATGCTGCACATACTGGGCGGGCATGAACTTTTTGCAGTGGTGGGGGGCACTGAACTGTCCCCTTCATCCCTGGACTGGACTACTTGTTGAGCTGTTACAACTCTCTAGCTAAAGGGTTAAAGTCATTCAATTTTACTAAAATAGACTAATCTACAGTTTGTGTGAGAGTAATATGCATGCAAGTATGTTTTTAAACTAGAATTAAAAGGCATATTATTTTTCATATTCTAAAGAAGATTCTTATGAAAACTATAACAAGACTTTAATTACATGTTTTAAAACAAACTTTACCCTAAAAGTAAACATGCATTTTGGAATATGGAACTTCAGCTTAGTTGGCAGCAGCAATGGGATCTCAGACTTAGTGACAGCTCATTAAAGTTGCTTTTTCCCTTTTAAAATTTATGGCAAAATAAATGAACTTATACTGTTATAGATAGCATTTCTCAAATATTTAAAAATTCTCAGTATTTTGTGTACGCTGTGCATGTCATTTGCCACAGATCCTTTTCCTAAAATGTTATCAAACAGAAAAGAGTTGTATTTGCATTTTCTTTGTTCAAGGTGTTTATTGCATCTCAGAGGGCGTACATGCACTGGGTTTTTAAACTGAAATACAAAGAAAAGCCATTTTGAAATTGGTTTTAGGTAATTTTCCCCATTACAGTGTATGTTATCCCCACAGTAAATTCAGATACAACCACTTTTAAATGGTACCATACACCTATTAAATAATTTGAAAAATAGGCAAATGCCTTTCCAACCCAATATGCTTTTACGAAGAGCTGCCAAGCCACTAGCAACACTGATCAACAGTGACCTCATATATGCATCAAAATCTTAAGCCAAGCCATCAGCACAGACAGTATGACAACAAATTAAAAAATCAAAGAATACAGTATGTACAGTAAAGGATACAATTTTCTGAATTAGTTTAAATTCTAATCACAATGGTACAACAAAAACTACTTTGAGCTCAATTGAAGGATGAAAAAACACTAGTCTACAGAATACACAAAGAAATACTAAATGAACAGATGTACATAAAACCCACAGAGAAGTAAAAATATTTGTAGTATTCTTTAAATTACAGATATATCTTGGGGTGCTTTCATAATCACTTAAATAGTACATCTCTAATTGCATTTTCATGGACATGATAGAAATGGACCCTTACTTTTCAGTGCATTTAATCAAGAATGAATAAATAGGTCAATTTAGATGCAAAACCTGTCAAATATAATTAAAATATATATTTTAATATAGCAGTGATAAATATGGAATTCTTTCCATATAATTTTTCATTCTTGATAAGGTAGCTTCAAGGAGAAATATTTATTATGGCCGTTAACCTTTATATTTTTTAAAATAAAATTTCTTAACATATACAGTGCCACAAAAATAAACATTTCTCACAACAGTTGAAATTTCTGTGGTTGGAAAAATGTACCCACACCAAAAACAGTTTTGTCTATTTAAGAGTGTTTTTCTTACTATCTGATATTATCACATTACCCTTGTAACAGAGATACAGAAGAAAAGAGGATTGAGATGGGGAGAGTTCAGGGTTTTTCCAAAAGGTATATATACATCAACACCTTCAGAAACACAGACACATCTTTCCAAATGGCTCACCATACAAAATCTGTGCCACCCATCCATGGCCAAGGTCCAAAAAAGCACTAAAGGTATCGGAAACATTCATTCATTGGTTACATCATACAACACACAAGTAACCCAAATACACTACAATTTTGAGAGTAGGGATAACAGCTAAGGTAGTACACATTCCTAATGTTCACTTTCACAGCTGTGCTACATGTTTTGGAAGAGAAGTTATGAGTAAGCATTGGGTTTGGTACTGGTGGCTCACTTTGAAACTCTGAGCATCAATCTTATTTGAAGTCTCCAAATTCATCTCATTTCTCCTATTCAGTCACAAAAATTGCAGCTGTAAAGAAAAAAGTATTTGGGTTACTAAGCAGACTATTACATACACCTTGAACATTTTACATCCCAAATTTTACTTAAGAGTTATTCAAACACCTTTACACAAAAGATTTCTGTGTTAGCAAATTCATACTTACAGACTTTTCAAAATTCTTTAAAATAAGCTTAAAATTTCAGCCTGGAAACTTTAATTTTTTTTTCTATTTATAGTTTCATTTTAGAAAAAAAATGGTATTTAGCAAAATTGAGAAATTTAGACACTTATTAGAAATCTTAGTCATAAGATACTCAGTATCAATTAAGAACAGCTAAATTTTAAGAAGGGGCAATAAAAAATGTGCTATGGCAGTAACTTCCATTATTTTTTGTTTTTGTTCAGTTACAGTGCTCAGTGAATCACTTAGTGAATAGTTGACCAAGTGAGGAAGAGAAGGGAGAGAGCGTGGGTGCCTAATGCCTTCTCTCACACCACATTCCACTTTGTTCGCAGGTCATTTTAGTCAGGAAACCTTTCTTGAGGTCACAAGGCTTAGCCATGATGGCACCTCTTTCTCATAAAATCATCTATGTCTGTCTGGGCTGTGAATGGGGGTGGGGTGGGTGGAGAACCCTCCCTAAAGCATCTTTGTTTTTGGTGCTTATCAAAGTTCTTGGATGTGATGACAGTAGTATATACCAAGAAGTGGATGAAAGGCTGCTCCGTGGAGTTTCCTTGTTTATTCCTCACACTTTAATTGTTTCAAAGTAAGTGCTCATGGTCTGAGTTATGCCTACATCAGCCCAATCCAAAGTGGAACAGACAAGTTGGGCATGGGGAGAAATTACTTGTTGAGATGTCAAGGCCTAAGATGATACATTATTTCTCTTATATTAAAAAATCATAAAAAAGATTTGACAAAAATATCAGTAGGCATTAGAGAAAGTTTTAATAAACGTGATGAAGTAACACTAAGGGATAATAGCTAAGGTAATACTCTTTCCTCATGGAATGTGGTCCAAAAGTTTCTACATTTCTACCATTCTTCCTGCAAGATCCCGGACAAATCATTTAGTTCTTTTAGCTAAAAAATAGAGTAAAAAATATCTATTTTTGCTTATGTGTTTTGATTTACTGAAAAGATGTGAAAGTAGATGTGAAAAAATGAAAAGCAGTATCATCAAGCATTTGTAAAGAACCTACGCATCATGTTAAGTGCTGGGGTTAACAGTAAATTTTCTTCATCTATCAGGTTTTTTCTCATAAGTTCATTATAAATTGTTTTGTAAATGAAATTTATGAAACTTAAAACTAGAGTATTAGAAATTTAAAATTCTTCTTGAAGAAATAAATGCAAAGGAAGGTGGGCATGGTGGCAGAAGCCTATAATGCCAGCACTCTGGGAGGGTGAGGCAGGAAGATTGAAGTGTTTTGAGTCCAGCTTGGAAAAATTAGAAAGATCTTGTCTCAAAATAAAAAAATAAAAAGGGGGCTGGAGATGTAGCTCAGTTTGAAGGCCCTGGGCTCAATCTCCAGTACTGAAGAAAAAACAAACAAATAAACAAACAAACAAAAAAATGAGGAACACCAAGGGTAAAAATATAAGGTTTACTTTATACGACAAAATAAAGAAAAACAAAACAAAAATATTCCTCTGCAAAATATATTCTTAGGTGGTTTCTAGATGCAATATTATAAATGTTAGCCTTTTATAAAGTCTAGTCATCATGTACTAACGTAGTATGCTTCCAATTTATTAGGTAGATTGGGCAACTTTTTTCTTTATCACTATCATCTCTGCTTTCCAGAGTAAGGGCAAATTGGAGCTTTCTTTCCCTTTAAGCTTTATAAATTTGCAAGATTGAATACAAATTATTGATAAAGATGGCTTTGTTATAAATTTTAAAACTCTTAAAATTCAAATTATTATTATATACAGCTATTTAAAATACAGAAATAAAAAATATATGAAATAGCTAAGCATTACATAGGTCATTATTACAAGCCCACAGGAAAAGCTCTGTATTAGATACCTTAAATTGTTTACAAGAAATCCTTGATGTTAAGATCCGCTAATGGGTCCTTTGCTGGAGGTTTCTTGGGACTCTGAGTGGCAGGTGTAGGGCTTGGAGAAAGCTAACGGGGAAAAAGCCAGTTCCAAAGAGCAGAAATAGAAAGCAGAGAAAGATAAGCATTAGGCAGAACGTGTATCACAGAAAACAAACATGCAGAAGAATAGAGGGCTAAAAGTTAAAAAAATCTACTTTGTTCTCCTTAGTCACAGTGTTGCTTTATTTTGGAGTAGTAAAATATACTTTGAATAATTGGCTTTCTTGATATTATTTGACTTTCAGATTTAGCCAAAGTAAAAGTTGGGGACTCTGGTAGAACAATATGGATATGAGTTAGGTAAGATATGAAATACTAGTCACATAAAGATGTTATGAATATACAGTAAAACAAACATACAAAAAGCAATAAATTTTTCTAGACAAAAGCATTTTTACTTTGAGATAGTGCCACTAGATTAATGCAAAAGTTTAAATGGCTTTTCTAAGAGTAAGTGTGAGTGTGAAGGGAGATTAAAAGGAAAGTTTACAGATAGCCACCTAAGAAATTATTTAAAATTCTTAGCTAAATATGTTAGAATTTCATATAAATTATTTAAAGTGAAAGCCACATTTAAAGCACTGTTTTTTTAGATGAGCAAGCAGCTTCTTAGTCACAAATGTCACTAAACCCTAGTCTCATGAACAAACTATGCTGGACTTGCAGAAAAAGGAACAAATCATTTATTTTGCTGCTAGTGACCAATACTTAAATCACAGAAATAACTTATGGGATCAGGTCTTGTAAGGGATGTCAGGATAAAGGACTTGAAAAATCTCATGTAGTTTCTCTTGCGTAATAGTTGACACCCACCGTTTGAGTCTAATTAATCTTCTTTGCTTGTAAGGTAATGACTGTGAGGCAGGAGTTGATGATTTTATTTGCTTGGTAATCAAGTTTCCAGGAGTAAGGAGCATGAAATTTGTACCTATGTTTAGAAACTACGGACTGACTGCATCATTTATCAGTCCAATTCCCCATTGAAAAACAGAGAAAATGCTTTATAGAGATAATGAGAACAAGTACATGTAAAACTTAAAATTACTTGGAAGGAAATCAAGAATTGGCCTATAATTAATAATTAGGTGAGATGAAAAAATCATATGCTGTCAAACAGTTAAAGAACAATGGTATAGTCCAGGCATCAGTGATAAAAAGTTGCTTTGTATTATGAAGATAAAAGCTAATGCTTATTTTATTCTTCAGGATAGTTATGCAGTTTCTTTGATATGGAAAACAGGGTCCAAAACTTATACAAATATGACATGCCATTCCCTGACTTACTATAAATTCAATTTTTAAGCCAATGCATTTTATCATATCATCTAGTTCTCATTTTTATTCTTCAAATTAGGCAAACAATTGATGCCAAAATTGGTATAGTATAAAACATTTGCCTAAAGTAAAAATTACTTCAATTTATTTCTAAAGCTTTTAGCATACCAAATAAGATTTTCAAAAATCTTAATAAACATTCTTTCATTAAAACAAAAACGTTCTTCTTTTTTAAAAAAGAGGTGTTAAATATTCACAGATATACTCAATCATAAAGGAAACACAAAAAATGGGATCCATCTTAAATTTAAGTATATAAAAGTTAAAGCTATCCCAACCAGTAGGCCCCAAACCTTCCTCACACCTTACTAAATAACAGGATGCAGGGTTCATTAGTGCCAAGCAGAACAGAAAACCTGTCCTGAAGCCAGTGGAATGGGAAGGCTGCTAGATCTGGGGCTTTTCACATTCTAAACACATTTCACATTTTAATACTCACCATTTGCTTGCCTTGGTTACTATGCTTTGGAGCAGTCAGAGTGAAGAAGGTGAAAGCAAATTTTGGAAATGCATGGAGAAGGAATTTAGAGATGGATCAAGGAGGCAAAGGGCTTAAAACATACTCAGAAAATTCAGAGTAAGTATGCTCTGGATATGGTGATATAAATGCCAATTTGGTAAGTTAAAAATATTTCAGGAGTGAAACCATTTACTAACATCATTAAATGTTATTGGAGCTGTTTGGTTTAGTTTGCTCAGCATACAGCTACTAAAGTTATAATTTGGTGTTCTGATTCTATCCAAGTCAATTTCTCATGGTGAAAAGCAATTTGATTCCAAATATACCTCTACCTTGCCAGAGAAATCAAGAAAGGGTGACTCATCAGTATGACTAGTAGTATCAGCAGCAAAGCAGTTCAACAGAGTCTTTCAGCTTCATTGTAAATGGAGGAGGCAGCACATGGTATAGCAAGGAATTGGGCCACGCCTAGACAGGTTTTCCCTTTGTCTTGGACCCTAGTAGGTAATCTAAATTTTAATGCTTTCCTGAGAGACAAGAATGTTTGTTAATCCTGGTCGTGGGTTCCTGAAACCCACTGGATAGTTTAAATCAACAAAGTGACTCATGGGGCTAGTGTGTGTGGGGTTTCATAGTTTATGCTAATAAGGTGACTCAGAGACTAGTCTTGTAAGCAGACCAACCAAATGATTAGATGGTTGTTGGGTCTGCAGGCCAAGTAAAACCAGCCTAATCTGCAGGCAGAGAGTTTAAGATGGACTTCAACTCATGGGCAAAATTCGATCAATTTTACCTGTGTAATGAAGCCTTAATAAATAACTCTAGAGTGACCTTTCTGATAATACTGTTTGTGTTGTCAAACACCGATACCAGGGGGGAAACACATCTCCGAAGACAAAGAAGCTTCATTCTTAGAACACTCCCACATCACCCACTGTCTCTTCCTTTAGCTTCATCTAATCTGCATCCTTTTAATCCAATAATAGGTGATTATAAATTTAGCATATCCTTGAGCTTTGTAATTCTAACTGTAATGGTGGTCATTAAAAACCTCAAATTTATAGCCATCTGGTCTGAAACGAGGGTGGCCTTGGGGATTCCCAATTTTGTGGAGGTGTCTGAAGAGGATTTTTATGGTGACCATTCCCTTTGGTAAATTCACTATTATTGGTGTTAACAAGCCCGGGAAACACTTGAGAGCCTGGAGGACTGTGCCTTGAACCTTTTGGGCTAACTCTGGGAACATATAATAAAACCATGCATCAGAAGCCCCTATTTTGGGGGAACACACGCCTTGGATGCCCTCAATGCTTGAATGTTCTAAACCATTCTGAATTAAGAAAAAGGAGAATAAAGAGATCTTAGAAAAATTAGTTCTATCGTTTTTCTCTAAGCTTCATATTTCTGCCAATCTGTCTCCTAGGCTCCCTTCATTTTTGAAGTAACAGAGTACAGGAGACAAAAACACCTTTAAACAGCTAGCCACAAGAAAGTTTTATACTTTAGAGTTAATGTCACTTTTTTGTGGACATCAAGAAACTGACCTGTGTGCCAGGTACAGCTGCAGCTCCAAAGGGTGGCCTCATCATGGGCTGGGCAAACATGACTGGCTGCTGAGGCATCATGGGCATACCTGTCCCAGCAGGAGGCTGAAAAGCAAAAGTGGCTCAGAGCAGGAATGGAAGACACTAGGCTAAGACCCTGACACGTATGGCATTTACATGCTTCTGACAATTTTTGAGAAATCCAGATTGGTGAGAAACTGTAATTAGTAATTTCGAACTCTGGATCCTGAGGCTGTCAGATGGGGGAGAGGCACTGAGGGACAGCTTGATATGAATTACAAGCCTGGCTGGCCATATAAGTTCCTCATCCCAACAGGCATTGTTGCTTATTTATTTTGTGTTAGCATAACTGTTGAAGAGATAAAAACTTGTTTTCTTATGGAAGATGGCCTTAAAGTGAAAGTGAAAAGACTTGGCCTAATGATTAAGGCCTAATTTTATGACTGAGCAAAGACTGTGTTTAATAAATATTATTCCAAAAATAAGATAACAATGTATTATAATTTGATGGTAGAATTTAAGTATTTATAACTGATTTTTATCACTTCTTGTTAGGCTAATTAAAGTCTAAAGCAAATGACTTAATTTTTCAAGTGCACTGCATTTTAAAAATAACTCTGGAGTATGTGTTATTTTGGGATTTGGCAAAGAACACAGGACAAGTTATCACTCACCATTCCAAATCCAGTTCCAGGCTGTCCAACAGATGCGGCCCCGGCCACCGGAGGAACTGAACTGGTTGGAGGTACAGCTCCTTGCTACATACCCACACCCACAAAATGACACAAAATAAACACGCCCACAAAATAAACAAAAAGAACCAACATAATTAGTTTTAAAATGAAAGGATATAATTTTGTGTGTATATCAAGTTTGTGTATATGAATAAAGAAATCTCAAATTTTAGTTATAAATTAAAAAATAAATAGTTCTAATTCCACGCCAATGATATAAACAAGGTTACCAATTTGATGTTTACTCTTGGTAGTGCTATTTGAATGTACTTGCTGGAGTACTTATTTACAACATTGGGCTTCTTTCCTCAGTCTCCTTACACTCACTCTCATTGTAAATGAATCAAACTTCTCTAAACTCATCTTTTTCTAACATTTTATTCTCTGACAGCTATCAGATTAGACACTGGAGGATCCTGCTTTCATTTACATTTCAGTATTGGTTTCCATCCCTTCCTTCTATTTTTTTTTTTTTTTGTACCAGGAACTGAACTCAGGACCTTGCGCTTGAGAGGCTGGTGGGTACCACTGAGCTACATCTCCAGCCACCCCTGCCTTCTATTTTTATACTGTTATTTTTCTGTGTTGTACTTGCTTCTTTCTAATTTTTGATTATTGTACATATGCACAAGGATGAAAATTAATTCACCATACAGAAAACATTCAATAGTCTGCACTTAACATAACATGCACATGCCATTTTAGGTTAGGTTTAATAGTTTCAGTCACACATAAAAACCCCCTAATAGTTCCTTCTTGTTTAAAGACTTAACCCTACTATAATCTCTTAAATTTAAATTAACCATTAGAGCGAACCCTAAGAAGGAAAACACTGTAGTGATGTCAGCACAAACAGAGGACCAAGGAACTCCAAAAGTATCATTCAGAAAAATAATTAAAAATAGGGAATAACTTTCAGAGTCAACTCTTATGGACTCTGAAAACTACAATCTTGAAGCAAACATTTATTGAAGAAAATCAGCTGAATCTTGGTAAGAGCAATGAGCTTTGTGGTATTTAAATGTACCTTAATTTCATCTTCTGCTCTGTAGCTTAGATGTACTCTTGAAAATAACACCACATTCCCAGTAAGAGCACCAAAAGGCACAGAATATATTTGTCTTTGTTAGAATTATTTTTTTTGTTTTTTAAGACTGGGTCTTGCTGTGTAGCTCAGGTTGGCCTTGGACTATGTAGTCCAGGCTGGCTTCAAATTCATCTTGATCCTCCTAGGCTTCCCAAGTGACAGGATTATAGGCATGTGCCACCATGGCTGGCTGTTAGAATTATTAAAATAATTATATAGTGGTACCTCGGCTTATGAACTTAGTTTGTCCTATGATTTTGGAAAAGATGTCCACGTTTGTGTTTATATGGGAAAGGTAGTTGCAGTTGTGTCACTTGAAGCAGAGCTTGCAAACAAAAACAAAATTTTGCCAAATGCTTCTGTTTGTGACCCAAAATGTTCAAAAGCAAAAGCATTCCTGATCTGAGGTACCAGTGTAGTTATCATGACTATTTATTTGTTCTCTGGAAAGATTGACTCAAAAGTTTTATCTTTGTGTCTTTTAAGTAGAACTGCACTTAGGACTGAAGTCATTACCTGAAGGTACTTAAGGAAAATATGTACAGGCAAATGTTTTAGTTGCTGCTGTTTAAGACAGTGCATAACATTCAGGACAAACAGCTAAACAAAAAACTTGAGAAGAAAAGCTGGAGAATGAGGTGATTTGTGTATTACAGTTTGAAAAGCTCAAACAGATCCCTGGGTATTTAAAAGATCATGTACATGCCTATGGGTGTATATGCCCAGCAAAGATTTAAAGTTTCAAGTGCTCACCTCTGGCTAACTTTTAGCCTCAAAGGCTAAGGCAAGTCAAACTTGGATGAGTTTAAGGATTCCCAAAAATACATACAGACCACTGTTCAATCATTAATGGACCACTTAACTAAAGGCACAGAGACTTCAATGATCACACATGACAAAGGAAATACAGATTTTACAGAATAACTTCAGAATGGTCACTAAATAAACAACTACAATTTGAGTATCCCTTATCCAAGATGTTTAAGACTAGACATTTTTCAGATTTTAGATTTTTTTCACATTTTGGAATATTAACATACACGGTGAAATATCTCGGGGATAGGATCCAAGTATGAATACAAAATTCATTTATGTTTCATATGCATCTTATACACCTAACTTGAAGGTAATTTTTTGCAATATTTTTAGTATGCTTGTGTTTTTTCAGTTTTTATTTTTTATTAGTATGTTTACATTCATAATTACATTCATTGTGAGGAGTTGATACAAATACATAACAGATCACAGTTCTTTTTTCATTTCCTTTTCCTCCCCTCTCTTCATATTCTTGATTCCCTTTCCATTTGAAAAGGATCTCCTTACTTCCTATAATTGGTTTTTTATTTTGCTCTTTAATTATATTTTAGGTTTCTCATATGCCTGCATTTTGACTACATCTCATCATATGGAATGAGCAGTGTAATTTTCTACTTGTGGTATCACACTGGGCCTCAAAACTTTCAAGTTTTGAAGCATTTTGGATTTCATATTTTCAGATTAGGGATGATCAATCTATACTACACAAGGTGTCAATGATAAACTCTGTGAAAAAAGTAAAATTTGAGTTTCAAATTTGACACATTTTACAATTAAAAATGTCCAAGTTTACCAAGACATTATGAGACATACAAAGATACAAGTATGTAGGACCCATACCCAGGAGAAAAATGTCAAAATCCCACTTTAAGAAACTTGAGAAAAAGAAAAAAAAAAAGTCTAAAGTAAGCAGAAGAAGAATAATGAAGAATAGAAAGACAGAAGAGATCAAATAAAAAGTTGGCTCTTTAATAAACTGAAAAACTTTTAGCTTATTATATTAAGAAAAAAGAGAAATTCAAAATCAGGAAAAGTGGGGACATGACTACTAATCTTACAGCAAAAAGGATTATAAAATATTATGCGTAATTAAATGCCAAAATATTATGTAACCTAGATGAAATGGTCAAAACCCTAGAAAGTACTAACCACAAAACTGACTTAACAAGAAATAGAAAGGTTGGAATAAATATATAGCAAATTAACCATAATCAAAAACTATCCATAAAACAAAAGCCCAGAACTAGAGTGCTTCCCTGACAAATTCTACCAAGTATATATAAAAGAGAAGTAGTTTCAATTTTTCTCAAGGTTTAAAAAAAGAAAGGGGAACACTTCCTAATCATTTTTTGCTGCCAGTATTGCCCTGATACCAAAGCCAGACAAGGTTATCACAAGGAAAAGAAAACTGCTTTATGAAAATTGTTGCAAAAGCCTCATTGAGTACACTGAATCCAGCAGCATATTAGAATTGTACATCATGACCACATGGGATTTATCCCAGGAGTGCAAAGTTGGCTTAATACATGAAAATTAATCTATGCAATATACTGTATTAGTAGAATAAAAAATACACAGCTGTAGTGATTTCTTATAATTTTACGTTGCTGCAACACTCATTTTAAATATGTTTAACTTTTTCATTCCAGAGGCAGAACTTAGTCACGCTTGACACGGTTTCCAGTTTTCTCCCTCCTCCCCACATCTCCATGTGATCAATTCAGATATCTACCTTATACTATTATCATAGATAAATTAATTAGATATCCTGTAGGCAGTTAAGTGAGACAGGGCCTCCCTGAAGGCACCATTCCTCAAGGTGCCAGACCTGCAGTAGCTGACATGGAGAGGAGCCAACATAGAAAACACCTGAGGCAAATTCACTGGTTAGCATCATAAAAAGAAGAGGCATTACTTCCCCTAAAGATAACAGTGACTGATTTTCTAAATAGCAGTAGCTAATATTCTAAATTGGAATCATTCACCTGAGTTGGGGGGAACCAAGGTCTTAACCCAGCCTTTTCAGGAAATATCCAACCCCCAACCCTTACTGAAAATCCTTGTATGCTTGCTACGTGACTTGCTCCCCTATTTGACTGCCACTTAATCAATATTGCCTGGGTGACTACACTTGCAATCTTATTGGTTGGTCATGGTTTTGTCCCACCTCATGTCCCCCTTGTAAATTTCCACTGGGTGTTATAGTTTTGTTCCACTTTGTATCCTCCTCACCACTTGGCTTTGCTGTATAAAGCACCTTTGAAAAGTGGGGTGGATGGGTAACCCACTTTCTGGTTCCCCTTTTGTCTTACTTAGATAGACACTTTCCTTCTCTTAATAAATTTTAACTTGCATTGTTTCTAGAATTCTATGATGATGATGATGATGATGATGATGATGATGATGATGATGATGATGATGATGATGATGATGATGATGATGATGATGATGATGATGATGGTACCAGGGATAGAACTCAGGTCTTTATACTTGCAAGACAGGTGATGGCACCACTAAGCTAAATGCCTGGCCCATAGAATTCTTTGATATTAGACACAAACTCATGTTTTGGGTACCTAGAAGGTTTGAGAGTTACATCTGTTCCCCATATATCACTATCACCTTCTGGTGACTACCTCTCTACGGGACAGCTAGATAGAACCTACTTGATTTACCTCATTGACCTTCACATCACATACGAACTGTACAGGCATGCTGCAATGATGCTCTCAATCACACTGTGGCTCCATGGAACTCATGCCTCTTTCCTATAAACCCACCAATTAGGACTTCCCTTGGGAGACCTACTTGAGTAACATCCTAGACCCTAACAAAGGCCCACAGGTTTCAATTTTTCTCTCTTGCTTCCCACCTACTGGTTGAACATATGCATCCTGGACAGCTCCTCTCTTCTCATTAACCTTGAAAAGTACACTGCCCTTCATTTCTTGGAGCGGTAATAAAATTGCGCCTGCTATTTCATGCAAGTGCTGTCTTTTCCACGTCTCACCTGACTCGACATACTGGAACCTAACTTCTTGTCAGATCAATGCTCTCCTAGAGAGTAGCTACCTTGGTTAGAATAAACTATGCACAGGTCAAAAAAGATCCATAGGGATATCTGACAGTATAGACAAATTTTCTGTGAGAAGGACATCTGTTTGTGGGTCAGACATTTAGGTACTAGGTTGTCTCAAGGGCGAATAAGTAATCCCATGAAAGGCACACTGTAATATCCACAGCTACCATCCCTGAGCCTCATCAAGGTAGAACTAGGGCCGGGGATTTAGCTCAGCAGTTTGGTGGCCTGCCTTGCAAGCGCAAAGACCCGAGTTCAATCCCCAGTTCCAAAAAAAAAAGGTAGAACTGAAGCTTATGGCCATGTTTCCTAAAACAAACCTCAAAGTCAAATTATAAAAAAATCACAATGGCCACTTTGATAGCACTGATAACATCCAACATCCTTAAATGACAAAAAAGTACTCAAGTAAGCAAAAAAAGAGGGGAAATTTCTCCAAAAAATATAACACTTAGTGGTCTGAAACTAGGGCCGGATTTAGCTCAGCAGTTTGGTGGCCTGCCTTGCAAGCGCAAAGACCCGAGTTCAATCCCCAGTTCCAAAAAAAAAAGGTAGAACTGAAGCTTATGGCCATGTTTCCTAAAACAAACCTCAAAGTCAAATTATAAAAAAATCACAATGGCCACTTTGATAGCACTGATAACATCCAACATCCTTAAATGACAAAAAAGTACTCAAGTAAGCAAAAAAAGAGGGGAAATTTCTCCAAAAAATATAACACTTAGTGGTCTGATTATGGAATTATGGAAATTATGAATTATGGAAAGTTTTCTCCATATGAAAAAGACAAGGATGTATTGGAGATTCTAGTCAGGGCAAACAGCAGGAAAAAGAGAAAAATAGCACCCAAACTTGAAAGGGAAGAATAAGACTCTCTCTATTCACAGATGAATAGAAAACTCTAGAGAATTTAAATGCAAAAACTGCCAAGGTAATAAACAACTTCCCAAAGTTGCAGAATAAAAGATCATTATACAAAAATAAGTGCAGTGTTCAGTGTATAAGTTAGCAACAAACATTTAAAAAATGTAATCATGAAAATCATTCCATTTATAATATCCAGAATAAAATTTTTATGAATAAACTTAACAAATGGAATATAAACTTCTACATTGACAACTATAAAACACTGTTGAAAGAGATTAAAGAACTAATAAATGTTAAGACAATCTTGTGTTCACAGACAGGAAGACACAAGATTGTTAAGATAGCAATAGGTAAACCTTATCAAAATTTCAACTGCTTGTTTTTGGAAAAGTAGACAATATGAAACTAAAATTTATGTAGAGATGCAACGGTTATCATATCAGAATATCCAAAACAGTCTTGAAAAAGAACAAATTTGGAGAATTCATATTTCCTAGTTTCAAAACTTAAGTTACATCAATCAAAACATTTTGGGCCTGACATAAGAAAAAAACAGATTAACAAAACAAAGTAAACAGTATGGAAATAAACCCATACAACTAACGCCAGTTGCTTTTTATATAGGTATTAAGAGCAATTATGTAAGAAAGAATAGTCTTTTAAACAAATGATGCTAAGACAACAGGATTTCCACATGGAAAATAATTTTGACCCTCATCTCCCACCATATACAAAGGGAACTCAGGTCATAGACATAATGTAAGAGATAAAACACTTAGAAAGAAACACATGTGAAAAACTTTAGGACCTTAATTGGGCAAAGGTTTCTTAAATATAACACCAAAAGCATAAGCAAAAAAATCAGGTAAATAGGAATTTGTCAAAATGAAAAATTTTGTGCATCAAAGGAAAGCATAAAGAAAATGAAGACAGCTCACAGAATGAGTGAAAATACTTGCAAATCATGTATCTGCTAAGTATCTATACATACTATTCAGAATGTATAAAGATCTCTTAAAATGCCATAAACAAAAGAATTGCAAAATGGGCAATAGGTAGCAAAATGTGATACTCCCAAATGTCATCTAGCATTAAGATTTCAAGTTGAAGGAAATTAAAAAACATATTAATTAAGAATTTCTGGAAGTTCATTTTGTTTTGATAACTAATAACACCCTTTCTCTTTAACAGCCTTAAATCCTAGTGGTACAATTCAGGGTTGATACTGTGAATAGTCCACCACCTTGATATGGTAGGTAAAGAGTGAATCAAAAATATAATCTTTGTTGTTATTTTTTTTCCCAAATGTTTTACTGAGATAAAATTCTTTACATTTCAATTCACCATTTTAATAGTTTTAAAATGTACAAGTCAGTAATCTTTAGTACATTTAGAATGTTGTGAAATCATAACCATTATCTAATCCCAGAGCATTTCAATCAACCTTCCCTAAAACAACGTTGGCCTTTCCAATTTCCTACTGCTCAATTCCCTAGCAACCAATAATTTACTCCCTGCTTGTGGTCCTGCCTATTCTGGATACTGCATCTAAACAGAATCCTATACTATGTTGTATCTGGCATCTTTCATTTAGCATAACATCTACATTCTAATTTATATTAATTTACTTTAATGCATGAGCTGCTGCGGTAGTGAGTGATGGTTAAGAACTAATTAAGGAAACAAGGAAAGGATGGTACCAAGTGAGCTTCAGAGATGGGTATGATTTAGACGGGTGGAGGTGGTAAGCAAAGGCGGAAAATTACAAGTGGGCCTGGGAAACAGACTTGCCTACTTTTACTAAATATAGGAATTTAGGGAAATTTAAAATGTAGAAAGGAAACCTGTATAAATGTAATAGAAAAAATGATGTTAGTGCTTTAAATTTTTAAACAGTGAGCAGAGGTAATAGTGTTTTAAATCAAGATTTCACTTAGGCAACTGGCAGAAAACTGCCCAATCTGTCTGGCAAACAAAAAAGTTTTCATTACTTATTAAGACAATCAGGAAATTTGGGTAAGAAATATGATAAAATATATATTGATCAATGATAGTAAATGCTTTGGAAAAAGGATTTCCATAATTTTACAAATTAAAAGAGGCAAAATACTATTTCAGAATATCGAAATAATAAAATAGATCATAATTTTTATTAAATGTAACACCATGGGAATTTGTATTTCAGTAAAATTTGCATCTTGCTTATATTTCTTCAATGTGGATAAGTAAGTACAGTGTCAGTAGACAAGTTAAGCAAAATGCACTCTGCCCTGTACCCTTGGAAACTGGCAAACTACCCACACTGCCCTGGCCTCTGATGGCTACGTACCAAAGGTGCACTTGGTGGGACACCTGCTGACCATGTGGCAGGTGTTACTTTTGGCTGCCAGTTGGCTCCACCAGTTAACTTTTTCTCTCCAGCATTCCATTGAAGATCTCCCCTAAAAGAACATAAAACAGACAGACAATAGCAACAAACTAAGAATTAGAAAAAAATTGTGGTTTGTGGCTCTTTGGATTAATTTATTTGGGATTAGAAGTAAACTATTGAGTCAATTAGCAGTTAAGAGAGTAGGCTAAAATTTACAGGGAGTATCACTATATTGTATGTAAGAGATCTTAAACTCATTTGAAAAAAAGGCAAGAGTTTGGATTTCAACAATAATAGAGATTTCTTATCAGCTATAATAGGAAAACATGACAGAAGATTCAACTAAATTCTTTACTCATCACAGAAAGTTCCAAATGGTATATCGTAAGTACCATAAATTTATATTCTGATGAATTTAAGATGCAATGGTGATGGTGTGGTCTGGGTCTTAGAGTGTTTAACAAATGTTTTACATGATTGTATCATGCCTACAACCAACTTCCTATGACTGTAAGACAATACCTAATACCATACACTTAACAACATACATTATTATTCTCATCATCCTTCTTTAAAACTGATACTCCAGCAAATAATTTTTAAAATCAATGTTAGCTAGAAATATAATGAACCTAGAATTTAAATCTGAGATACTCAGATGACAATCCCCGAATATTTCTATATACATCACTGACACTCAGAAACTGAAGCAGATTATTCCTTTTCATTGTAAAACAACAGTTTCGAGGTTTCAGTAGAATAACAGTAAAAATAAAAATAAAATATAAACCAACTTTGAAATTATCTAGCCTGAGAATGAATAATAATATCCTCCAATAAGTGCAATGTTTGGTAGTCTCCAATAAAAATACTGTCAGAAGGAAAATAGATAATTTAAAACACTTACTTTTTTGATGTGGTGCCAGAAATTCCAAGATCTATACATGTATAAAATAAAAAGAACGTAAACTTTTATATTCACCTTATGTAACATTCAAGAAATCAGAGAATTACAGATTTAGAAAACTTCCATATTTTGTTTATGAATGACTAAATTCAGTTACACAAAAGAGAAACTATGTTAAGAAACATATCTATTAATTTGAAATTTTCTCTTCCTTCACATTAGACTTAAGGATCACATTTTGATGTGAATTGGCATACAGGAAAGAATAGACCTTGAGACTGCTATCTTAGAAGGGCTTTTCAGGCTGGTGTCTAGGAACTTGGCTAGCAGAAAGTCCTCTAAATTGACATAAAACTTTCTTTACATGATAACTAATGATGATTGTACTGTTTATACTAACAATGTGAGTTATGCTGAACACCTGCCTTCCTTCCACAATTATGGAATTTTGATTCATGCTAGGCAGAGTGTGCCTATGAAATCAGCAGTCAATAAAACTGCCAGGTGCAAAAATTCTCAAGGGTTCCTTGGGCAGAAACATCTCACCCATGCTACCAGACTCTTGCTGCTGGGGCAGAGTATGCCTGTCTCTTCATGGAAAAGAGAGAACACACAGAGTTGGCATGTGGATTCTTACAGACTTAAGCCTGTGTCTTTCCTCTTTATGATCTAGCTGTGCATCCTGCCTGTGCTATTGTAATAATTATCAGTGGAGAATCATGAGGCTTTCTAGAGAGTGTATGAATGTGAGGGTGATCCTGGGAATCCCCACATAGATGGCTTAATGTCTGCTCTAATCTCAATTCATTGATTACTCTGGCAAAGATTTAATGAGCCTTATGGCAGATATTGCTCTAAGCATTTGGAACATATCAGGGAAGAAAACAGACAAAGATCTCTACCCAGTAGGAGCTTGCTGCATTGAGAAGCAATGAAATAACAAAAAGTAAATTACATAGGCTGCTAGAGGGTGATATGTAAGGCATAAGGAAAACTGAAAAGAAAGAGCAGATTAAGGTGGGATGGAGGGGTCAGACGATATTGAAGAGGGTGTCTGTGGAAGGCCCCAAGGAGAAAGTGAGACTTGTGCAAAGCTGAGGGAAAAAGTTCTCTAGGCTGAGGCAGCAGTCAGCACAAAGGCCCCAGTCAAGCACAGAACTGAGTTGCTGGAGGATGATGTTAATGTTTATTTCTTGCCAAATCTTGGTATGACTAAATAGAATAAGGTATATCTTAACTGAAAATCACACATAGAAATTATTGCACATAATTTTAGCCATGATTTTGGAGCCAGTGACTTAGTTTGTTGCCAGGCTGGCCTTGAACTTCTGGGATCAAGTGATCTTGCACCATCCTCCCAAGTAGCTAGAACTTTAGATTCACGCCATCATGCTTCACTAGTTATTTTTGTTTGTAAAAGATAAACTTCATTTAAAACATTTTCAAATAGACTAAAAAACAATCTATATGCATTAAAAATAAAAACCAAATATGCCTATATTAATGTGAAAAGTCAAAAACAAGCATAAATGTATCATAATCACAGATACATAAACCCCTTCTCCATTTTCTGTGGCAGATGGAATGCTAAGTCTAGTCCTAGGTCTTTGTTGCAGGACGGATGCCTGGGAAGAAGGCTCTGAGTGATTAGCGTGCAGAGAAGAGAACATTTTACATACATCTTATGAGAAACTCTAACTTTATAAAGTGTTGGGTTTTAATATGGTATTTTCATATATGCATGTATTTTGATAATTTCTATCCGCCTATTATTACACTCTCTTGCACATCCATCATCATTCTCCTATAATCTTTTCCTCCTAATAATCTCTCTTCGACTTTCATGTCATCTTTTTTAGATTACACATACTAGGGAAAACGTGGTATCCTTGTCTTTCTGAGTCTGGCTTGTTTCACTAAACATGATTACCTTCAGTTCTCTTTATTGTCTTACAAATGACATGATTTTATTTTTCTTTATGGCTGAATAATATTACATTTGCCACTGTGACTTTTTTCCATTAAGTTTATTGGTACATTTAAAGCAAACAATACAGTTACATGTATCATTGGGATCTTGTACCTTTACATGATGTATCTTGGATGCCACTGTGGTTTTCATTTGTACTACTCTGGTGGCTAATGATGTTCACCATCACTCCACATAATTCTTTGCAATTTATATATCTTTTTTGGGGGGAAAATATCGATTTGAGTTTTTTCAATTTTTAAATTATATCATTTATATTCTTATTATTGAATTGTAAGAGATCTATATTCAAGACACAAGCCCTTTATAGGATATGTGCTTTGGGAATACTTTCTCCCATCCTAGGGTTTTCTTTTCACTTTATTTCTTTTTTGTGGGACTGGGAATTGAATTCACATGTGCTTTACCACCAAACTACATTCCCAGCTCTTTTTTACTTTGAGATAGGGCCTTGCTAAATTGTCTAGATTAGCCTCAAACTTGTGGTACCCCTGCTGTAGCCTCCTGAATAGCTGAGATTAGAGGTATGTACTCTTTTCAATTTTTTTATATCACTTGTGCATAAAAGTTTTAAATTTTGATGAATTCTTATTTTTTTCCTTTGACTGCTTGTGTTTAGGTATTGTATCTAAGAAGTCACTGCCTAATTCAAGGATACAGGGAATTATATCTAAGTTGTCTTCTTAGGATTTCATAGTTTTGTCTTTTACATTTATATTTTTGATTCATCTTAAATTGATTTTGTGGAGAGTTTAACATTATTCTTCTGCATGAAGCTAATCAGTTGTCCTTTGCAGTTTCTGAAAAGGCTGTCTTTTCCCTCATTGAATGGTCTTGGCATCCTTGTCAAAACTGATTTGACAACATATATGAGGGTCTGTTTCTGAGATTTTTCTTCTATTCTGTTGATCACTATGTCTTCTGTTATGGTAGTACAATTTGTCTTGATTAATGCAGTTTTGTAGAAATTTTGAAACTGGGAAACATGAGTCCTCCAAATATGTTCTTATTGGTTATTCCTCTAGTGGGCTTACTTTTTTTTTTTTTTTTTTTTTTTTTTTATTTTTTTTTTTTTTTTTTTTTTTTTTTTAGCTGAGATAGTTCTCAAAGATGGTTAACAGCTGAGGGCTATATGCTGATAACTTAGTAGCAGGAGGATAAGTTATTTCTGAAGGGGGATTTGGTGGCATATTACAGTATTCAGCAAAAGCAATCTCTCAGATTAAATTTTAGAGTGGGAGGAAATATTCAATTAATTTCTCCATGGGTATAATAAAAACATTTTCATGGATTCCAGAACAAAGGTAATGAATAAAAAACAAAAAGTGCATACACAAGAAAATATATACGTAAATATATCTGTGTCTGATCTCCTAAACTTCTGATACTGTTTTGAGTCATTAAAATTATCTGTATTATTAAGCCCATTCATCTTAAACATCCAGAGATACAAAACCAATTTTTATAACTGTGTGCTAGGGCTCTTTCTTTTCATGAATTTATGGTTTTCTGATTCCTTTATGTTATCTGAATTTGCTAGGCAATCTTCTGCCCTAGTGTCTTTGCACTGACTAATTCCTTTGCCTGCAAATGTTCTGCAGGTAACCGCACAATTCACTCCCTTACCTTCCAATCTTTGTTCAAATCTTACCTGTAGAATAAGGCTTACTCTAACTTCTACCTGCAAGCTTCTCAGCAACCCTTTGGCCCTTCTGACCTTTCTTCATGGCAACATGACTAAACATACTATAAAATTTATTGTTTCTCTGCCCTTTTCTATCATAAGGATAGAAATTTTGTTTTTTTCACTGATTTATCCCTGAAGATTGGGAGAATGCCTTGTGCAGAGTGATTGAAATGTGGATACTTGTACTGAATTTAACATAAGTTACCCTCTACTCTTGTTTTCGAATAAAATGGAGAATAAAGAACTTACTACACATAAAGTACTTCCTTCCATAACTGAATAGGCTTCTTAATGAACTCTATGGTAGTTTAGATTAAAAATGGCATAGGTACTCCTATGAAACAATGGGATAGCAATTGTCTGCCTTCCAAGGAATTGTGTTAGGTAAAAGACCAAGTATTTATATCTATTTCTCAATATACTTACCTCCAAGCAAAACCAGAAACAACCCAAATAAAAAAATAGAAAAACTCTAGCTCACATTTCAGTTGAAGAAATTGAGAGTACTCACTGCCTACTAAGCTGGCAAGAGATGAATCAAGATCACTCCCAAGGGCTTTGCTGGCTGCCATCGCGGGACTGGGTGGTACCATTGAGACAGGTGCAGGCTGCCCAGCTGGTGCCATTGTTGGCATTAGAAGATCACCTAGACCATCAAACACTGGAAATCAAATAGACCAGGTTCAGAATAACTGAAAAAAAAGACCATATACAAAATTAAGAGAGACATTGTCTTTTGAAAAACTACGGAAACAAATGAGTATGCACTCTTATAGAAGGCATGTAATTCACACCTTTTGTGGCTAGAACTCCCAGAACATGTCTACATATGTCTACTAATAATAGTATGGAAATATTAATGAACATGAGAAAAGAAGAAAGCTGTATAACGTACAGGAAAGAAAACAAAATTGGGCTGCAATTCAGCTGTACTTCTCAGTAGCTGTATGGTTTTGAAAAAACTATTCTCTGAATGTTTTAGTTTTCTTATCTGTATATGGGAATAGCACTACAAATATTGTAAATGGCTTTGTTGAGAATATTAAACTAGACAATATATGCCATATGCTTATTATAATGCCTGTTCTGTATAGGCACTCAATAAGTGGTAACCATTATCATTCTTATTGAAAACAATCACTGAAACACTTTTTAATTCAAAACAGTAGTGATTTATAGCAAAGTTTAAATGATTTATTCCAAAAACCGAAGATGCTTACTATAAAAAAATTGAATTTCCTAGTTTCCTAGGATATTACTATCTAAATAAAATCTGATCTGATGTTCAATGTCTAGTAATAAATATCTGAAAAATAGGTGATCATATTTTAGAAATAATTTTTATTTTTTCCTCACATATCAATCACTTCTGATTTTAAGGACTTATTGAAATTAAACAGTATTTTAAATATCAGACACAAAGTTTCATCATTGATGGTTCCTGATTAGCATATGATAAATACCACTTGTTCAGTTCCTAGAATACAGAAAGACTGACTATTCAAAATTCAGACTCAGTATCTGCATAAGATATTACTAATATCTATGTTGAAAACTTTAAAAAATTTTTATCAAAAACTATGCATATCTACCATAAACACTACGATGAAATAATTCTAAAGTAAAAAAGGACAGCATTCAACTAGGCACTGGCAATAGAAGCAACCAAATTGTCAGGCAGAGGATATATATTTAAAGTGTTTCTGAAACACATTTAATTGCCAAAAACTCACCAATTGAAAATTTGTAGTAAGGACCCAGCATGAGAAGAGTAGAATGGAAGAGAATACAAACAAAATGACAGCAGTGATGAAAGGTTAAAGGCAGGCAAAGAATACTGTTTGTGTCTCAACTTCATAAAACTGAGGGCCATGCAAGCTTCAGAGTGTGTAAGCAATAGCAGGGGAGAGTCCACATACTTAGATCCTACTCAAATATTTAGTACAAGTATTTGCTTTCCTTTTTACCATCTCTAGATTATGCCCATGTAAGCTCATGCATATAGATGGTGTGCTAAATTTCTGATAAGAATAGAAAAACAGAAACACAGAAAGGGTTGCAGATTATCCTTAGAGTTATCAAAATGTACTGGAAATTTTTATTTACGTGATAGAGTAAGAGATTTCTTGAAGTCTTAAAACAAAGTTATCACTGAATATTTGCTTGCTGTAAATTTTCTGAAAACATACTAACCATATTTTATCATCAGTACAAATGACAAGAACATTTGAAAATCACTGCCTCACCTGATGGATCGAAGGAGCTGCTGCTAGAAGTTGAAGGTGTTGTTCCAAAAGCTGCCTCAAAATTGGGCTGCAGCAGGTTATTCTGAGCTGGAGTGACTGGTGATGGAGAAGGGGCCATGAAAGAACCCCCAAATCCTGAAGAAAATTTGTAGAAAAACATAAGCAGAAGGAACTAACGGTGAGTTAAGGCCATAAAAACAGCCAGAAAAAGTTAAAGGAAATGGAAAAAGACAAAAGTGCATGTACATTAGTAGTCAGTGAAACTGGGGAAGTTTGTTTTTAAAAAAAGTTTTTCAAGTATCTTCATGTGCTTTGTACTTATGAGATTTAATATAGATATAAAATAACGTACAAGAATTTATACCCTTATTAAGAGAACCCATGGCATCCAAATCTGTTATAATGGAGTACATTAGGTAAAGAAGGTAATGGTAGTCCTAAAATTCAGCTAATTTTTTTTCAGCTTTAATTGAGTTTATTGGTACATTTTAGGGATACAGTACAGTTACATTCATTGTTGGGATCTTGTACCTCAACATGACAAGTCTTGATTCTCACTTTTTCCCCTTACCTCTGCCCTCCCTTCACCCCCTTCAGCTAATTTTTATTACATTGAAATTTTACATTTCTTCAGATCACAATGCCAGAAAGCTATAAAATATTTAGTTGCACATTGACAGTACAATAAAATACAAATTAGAAAAATATGCATCAAATCTCCCTTAATATCTTGTTTATATGTTTTACTGCCAGTTTTTACCACTAAGTCTAGGTCCCTCTTATCACTGTTACAGCTTTAATAGTTTATTGGTACATTTTAGGGATACAGTACAGTTACATTCATTGTTGGGATCTTGTACCTCAACATGACAAGTCTTGATTCTCACTTTTTCCCCTTACCTCTGCCCTCCCTTCACCCCCTTCAGCTAATTTTTATTACATTGAAATTTTACATTTCTTCAGATCACAATGCCAGAAAGCTATAAAATATTTAGTTGCACATTGACAGTACAATAAAATACAAATTAGAAAAATATGCATCAAATCTCCCTTAATATCTTGTTTATATGTTTTACTGCCAGTTTTTACCACTAAGTCTAGGTCCCTCTTATCACTGTTCTCAGAATTCCTAACCACTACCCAGGGGATGTCTGTAGTCCAGTCTAATCTTTGCTGTGCTGCCAGAGTAATCTTTCTGAGTAGAAAATGCTAACAAAGCTGCTTCTCTAAAATATTTTATTGGCTCCCCATGACTTTCAGATTCCTCTAATGCAAATCTCTTCATACAGAAATCACCCTTTTTTCTGTCTACTCACTATCTCCTCCCATCCCTCCAAACTAGGCTGCAGCAACAATCCAATTCCAGTGCCACATATTGGCTTTGGGAGGACCTCTTTGCCCTGATGCAGCTACTCACTGATTCCAGATGCACCCCACCCACAGTCCAACATGCACAACACTGTTGTCTTCAACATGTGGCACACAGCCCAATCCTATTCCTATCATATGGCTTTATTCCCAGGACCCCCAAATCCAAACCACAGGGATGGCTTTCTGGGGCCAAAAGCTTTGTCTTTTCCACACACATTCAATTCAGCATAGCACCTAAAATACTGAGTTAATGTTTACTGAGTGAAGGACACTTCTGAGAAAGTAAGAGGATATTAAAGGTAACTGGAAATTAAACAAATTTGTTTGAAGGCTGGAAGCAACCTGTGAAAGAAAGAATTTCTTTGTAAGACATGAGGTATTATAGTTTACATCTAACCGTCCTCACAAAGCCTCATGTGCTCTAGGTGGGGGCTCTTGGGAGGTGACTGGATCATGGGGACATGATACACTTAGTTTGTGGGTAAATGTGATCCTGGGAAGTGAAGCCTCCTAGTGAGAAGAGGTGGTGACATGGCTTGGAGGGGTGTCTCTCTCACTCCTCCCTCTACTTACTCTCTCTGCTTCCTGACTGCCAGGCCATAAGCAAACTCCTCTGCCATGCTGCCCTGCCCTAGAGCCAGCTGAGTATGGGCTGAAACTTCTACAAACTGTGAGTCAAAAATAAACCTTTCCTCCTTTAATTTATGAGTGTCAGGTACTGTGTCCCAGAGATAAGAAAGTAGCTAAGACACTAGGTAATTTTCTATTATAAAAGAATTCATTACTACCGTAAGTCTTTCTTATACCCAGTTTGGGTGTATGTTTCTTTCAAATTCAGTCCCACCATCTCTTCAAAAACAGCTTACAAAGACATAAAAGAATGGTTCAAAAAAAGAGAGACTATATTCCAACTTATAAAACCAATTTATAATTTTGAAAATAACTTCCACTAAAACTCTGTTTTCTAAAGGAGGCAGCAATAATGTTCAATTCATGCTGTCTCAGGGAATTGACTGTGGCATGGTTTTAAGCTTTCCCTGTATACATATACAAAGAATTGCAATTTGAAAAAAATTGTTACTTACTAGAAAATGTTCCTTTTAAAATTCACAGTGACCACAGTAAGTGATATTAGTATTTGAGTGACATTAGCATCACTTGTACATTTCTTTACTGAAGAAAGATTCTCTCAAGATTAGGAAGAACTAGTAAGATTCTGAAGATGGGCTAGAAATACTTATTTTTGAAGAGGTATGACTGTTTTGGTTTTAGGGAGATATTTGGCTGCATTAAGACAGATTTTTAAAAGTCATCTCACACATCAAGTCGTGGTATGCTTGTGGTTAATTTAGGCAATTGTTATATTGTGTGCTTCTCTTTGTTACAGATGAATGTTGAGATAACTGCACTTGAAACAGTTTCTTAAAACCTGGCCAAGGAGGGAAAAATATGTTTTAGAATCAAAGCATAATAAACAGTTTTAGAACCATCTAATTTAATCATTTCTTTACATGGCTGGAAGAAGTGGCTCCAAGAGAAGAAACATACCTAGCCAAGATTCAGCAGAAAGAGGAAAAAGTGTTCACTGATACAGTGCTAATTTTTTAGTAGTAATGAATTTCACTTAAAGGTAAGAACATATCCATATGTGAAGAAATAACAATACTCCCTGAAAAAGTTTGTACCTTCTATAAGAAAGTAAAATGTAAAGCTTGCCACATGCCACACAGTGTTCTAAGCATTATTTTTAAAGTTGAACCACATGCATTGCCTATATTTGACCATTTTGATTCTACAAAAACTATAATTTCAAGTGGTTCAACCTTAAAACATACATTAGCTCACTTAATCCTCACAGCAAGTCCATAAGGGTAAATGGATCAGAAAACTGAGGTCAAAGAAATAATGAAATAATTTATTCATGGTCACAAGCAAAAATGGTAGGTCCAAAATTCCACAGTTAATCCTCCAGAGCCTGGGCTTCTTAGCAGTACAGTACGCAGCCTCTTCGTCACATCCAATAATAACACTGATGTGTCTTGTCCCTATAGGTTTATAAACTTGATAGAGATCTGGCAGAATGGCCTTTTCTTTTATACTCAGTTCTTACTTTTTTCCCTTGGGTTTTGTTTCTTTTTTGAGACAGGGCCTCCCTAAGTAGTTCAGGCTGGCCTTGCACCCACTATGTAGCCCAGGTTAACTATTTGCAGATAAACACTTCCATACATATTTCCTAGATATTCACATTTGTTCCATTATGCTGAAGGTAATGTTGTTTCAATTATTCTTGGTACAACTGGTTGTTCATACATTCTACTTGCTAAAATGGACCTGAAATAGTATTTCTGGGAGTACTAGCCTGAGCCTACTGTCTACTTTCAGATTGTTCCCTGTATCTCTACAGAATGATAATTAATTCATACTCTGTAGACATCCCATTTCAATGAAGTGGTTTTCTTTTAATTCACTCTGAACATTTTTTACATTTTAAATTTGGTTCAAGAAATTCTTGGGTTCTGCTAAAAATTATCTGAGTAATACAGTTAAGAGAAAGAATGCAAAACTACAAAGGACCTCATAGGCTGGTACATATTGTTCTTTGCCTTTTGGATTAAAGATAGGATAGGCCAGGGCTAGGGAATTAACTCAGTGGTTCTGCCACCTGCCTCGCAAGTGCAAGGTCCCGAGTTCCATCCAAAAGATAGGATAGGACATATTCCACCTTAATACAGATTTTTCCTATAAGCAAAGCAGAGGGAATAATGAGAAACTAGCTCCCTAACAGAACTTAGTAATTTATAATTTCTTTTATCAAAATATAAGGTGAGCTGGGGATTTAGCTCAGTGGTGCTGCCTGCCACCTCCCTCGCAAGCACAAGGTCCTGAGTTTGATCCCTGGTACCAAAAAAAAAAAAAAAAAAAAAAAAAAAAACTGCCTGTCCCCAAGTACAAAATATACCTCCATTTGTCTAAATTAAATTATTAGAATTGTTTTGAAAGCAAACCAGACATTAACACTCGTATACATATATATGTCAAATATTAATCTATTCAAATAGAAAAACAGAAATAAGAAAGTTTATGTAATATATAACTTCTCCCCACCATTGAAAAGATCTTGAAAGATGTGGGGAACACTTCGTTTAGTTCCCATCTCACCCCCAGAATTGAATCTCTTGGCTCTGTCACTGACCTCTTACTTGGAATTGGATGGGAATGCTCCCTTTCCCACAGGCTTTGCCTGTCTGCTCCAGTTCCTAGTGTTCTATGTTCATTTAGAAACACAGTGCTTCAGGTTCCATCTCTAGGGCACAGAAAGTCCACAATGGATCAAGGATAATGGAGCAGACAATGGAACAGCACTGGAAATGGTGAACAATGCCTGGACACCCTGTAAGTCTTCTGTCTAGCAGGCTCCAGCCCTCCACTTTGGTGTCTGTGGTGGGGCAGGGGATACCCAGTAAAGACGTCTCAGAATTCTGAAAGTCAGAACATTTCATGTGCTATTCTACCTTAATTATAAGTTAAAACAAAAGTTTATAATCAGTAATCTCATTTCAATATCAAGAAGGAAGAAAAGCCAGGGAATTTAGCATTTTTTCTTTCTCTCAACTAACCAGTAAGAGTTTATACGAGATGCATTGCCTTTTACATTTTAGCTTCCAAAGAACTAAGCACATTACAGTGGGGCTTTGATTCTTAATAGTGCAAGAAAATACCCGCTGTCAATCACTGGGATGAAAGGACTTAACAAACAAGAGTGTCATATTTGATCAAGGAGTCTGAAGAGGATGGGAAAGACACAAAAGAAGTGCTATTGTCTTTGGCAAAGACTTAACCAGAATGAATTACTGATGGAAGGAAAGGTTAACAGTTGGCTGTACTTCCTCTAGCTTCTTAAAGAAAAATTTCACTTCAAGTAAAATATTCTGCAATTCTTAAGGGTGACAAAGGTCCTGTAGGATCTTCCATTACAAGTCCAAGAAATCTAAGAGTTCCTTAGCTTCCTACATTTGGTGTCAGGATTGTTCACTGTATTTCTTATAATATATGAGCTAAGGCCGCACTTAAACATTGGTACTAGTTAATTACATTATAAAGGGCCACAGAACTCTCAGCATATTTAGGCTGAGAGACTATAGATGTCCCTGTGTTGATGGGGCACACTGTCATCAGCCTTTTGTCAACCTAAGGACCAAAATGCATCCCTTGTGGTGACCTGGAGAAGGACAAGAGAACCTGCATCTGAGCGTCTGAGGGTTCTGGGATACCACTGCTACACTTCCTATTATGTACCCTTCTAAGTAAAATCAGAGAAGTCCACAGCATCTTGTGAATTCCACTGATAGTATGAACTGAAAGTTACTACTTGGGTCTTACAACTGGCATTTTCTAGGTCTCTTATTAAGTACACTTTGTCTTGCTCTTCAGGAAGACTGATACTTGACTTTTACTGCCTTTGAATTATTCCCTTTCATTCTATCTACTCTATTCTAGCAATGAGCAATGATCCAATGCAAATTGTGTTAATCTATTACATACTGTGGCCCTGTTGAACTATGATCACCCCATATATTTTCAGATAGATAAATGATCACCTAGTTTTTAAAAAATGACATATATAGCATAGCTTCAATTCAAAATATAAACCAGTAACAATTTCTCCCACAGTAATTCATATTTTTGTTTCTTAACTTTTATTTTAAATTAATATTTTCTTCAGATCATTTTTTAAATTTGTACTTGTTTGTAGTACATAATGTTTACATTCCTTGTTTGGGGTTGGTACATAATACATCTTAATTTCTTTTTTCATTCCCTCTCCCTCCTCCTTATCCTTTGATTCCCTCCCCTTTTGAGAAAGATCTGTCTCCTTACTTCCCTATTTTCTCTTTATTATACTTTGGGTTTCTCATGAAAGAGAAACTGCAATATTTAAGCTTATGTGTTTGATGTATTTTGCTTAACATTATGGTCCGAAAGTGCGTTTATCTTCCTACAAATGACTTAAGATTATATATTTCAAAAGTAATTGTCAAACATCACAGCACATTTCCCCACAAATTCCTTCAAAACAATGAACACAGACATTAGAAGCTTAAAACTGCCACGTAGGTTCATATATAATGTCTTGTTTTTTGGTTTTTCATCTTGAAAGGAAAAAAAAATGAACCCTGTAATTTATGCAATACTTGTTACTCCTAAAAATAAATACAAACTTAATTTCTACAGAATACCATTTTATTTTAGTTAATTACCAGCTAGTAGATCTGCCGATGCTGATGAACCAGAAGCAGCCTGGGGTGCAGGTTGGGGTTCAGAAGCACTACTTCCAAATGCATCTATCCATTATCCATTATGCAGCAAAAAAGTAAGACAGTGTAAACAGTAAGTAAAGTAATTTAAGTGTTATGCAGAGACATGCAAAGACATGACATTTTGTTTGGTGAGTTTATCTCCAATAGATATGTGAAATGATTGAGATGAATTATGTTCTAAACAGTTTTTTTGCATTATGAGTTCTAAAATATTTAGGAATTAACACTTTAGATATATTATCCAAATGTGTAGTTTAAGAGTGAATTCAATACATCATCCTGCTTTCGGATAACATCCAAAGGAAGAAAAGAATGCATTTAAATCAGGAAAACATTTTTCAATTATCTGAAGGGATTTAAAACCATTAAACTCAAAGTTAATAAACTACAAGGCCGGGGATTTAGCTCAGTGGTTCTGCTGCCTGCTTTGCAAGCACAAGGTCCTGAGTTCAATCTCCAGTACCAAAAAAAGAGGGAGTGGGGGGAAAGTTAATACACTACAGCATAATGTATGACATTTAGCATCTGTGCTTCCCGTTTTTTTTCATTGAGTTTATTGGTACTTTTTAGGTATATAGTATAGTTACATTCATCATTGGAATCTTATACCTTTACATGACAGATCTTTGTTCTCATTTTTTTCCCATGCCCCTACCCTCCCTTCACCCCCTCCTCCCTCCCCTATTTACAACAACTTTGTTTCCAGTTTTTCATTTTCTCCTATTTTTTTCTTTTCCCTTATTTCCTTTCCCTTACCCTTCCCACTTTCCCTACTCCTTTAGCCCTTTTCTTCCTATTTCACATTATCAGTTATACAATTTGGATCTTATTTACACTTTTAGTTTTTTCACACCAGAGAAACTATTCGGTATTTATACATGTGTGTCTTATTTATTTCACTTAAGAATATGGCCTGAATATGCATCCATTTCCCTATGAATGACTCTAGTTTCTTATTCTGTATGGCTGAGTAGTACTCCATTTTATAGAAAAACAACATCTTCTTTATCCAGTCTCCAACTGATGGTATGCCTCCAGTTTTGCCTAGCTTGTTCTCAATTCTGAGTGCCCTAGGTTCATGTTTATACTGTTTTTAAAAATAACTTAGAAATGTTGATTTAGTCAACAGATTGGGATCAACAAAGAAGGATAGAAAGAAATTTCAATCAGGATATTCCACATTAGAATAAAGAAAATGTTGAAAACCAAAGACTTCCTATGAAAAAACTACCTGGTTTTGTTAGGTCATGAACTAAAAATTATGGAGAACTGATGAGGATGAATATGATGGCAAAGAAATGGAAAAGATTTTAAAAACTCAAGTTTATCTGTAAGAGATAATTTCACATAGTCAAAAGAAAAAATGATAAAATATAATGAAATGGAATATCTAGAAATTATCCTTAAAAAAGACTCCTGAAGTCTTGAAGGAGAAGAGATACGCACCCCCAAAAAGGTCTATCACACCTGAAGACTCCACCTTTGCTGGAGAGGCAGTGGTTGCAGGAGATGGTGCTGCAAATGCATCCACTGGAGTGAAGCACAGGACATGAAAAAGTATGTGTCACACAGAGGAAAAAGAAACCAGCAGTCTTGACAAGTAGTGTCTTAAGTTATGGGTAACTCGGGGAAGAAGACAGTAGACTCTTAACAGTTAAGAAAAGCAAGTGAATTTTAAAATGCTCCAGAACAAAATAAAATTTGACTCCTTCAAATTAGAGGTTTTAGTGTGATGTTTTCTCTTTTTACCAGCCTTATGTTTGAAATGTTAACTCTCATCAGCTGGTGATGGGTCAAAGAATGAGTTTTTTTCCTAAGTGAATTTCACATTCAAAAGAACATACAATAAACCCACAAGTCATTGTGCCCTCCTCTCCATGCATGGTTTGCAGGAGACAGCTCTGAAGACTGACTTTGGCAAAGCACTCACCGGATAAGAGGTCAGCAGTGAGAGAACTCTCAGGCACAGGAGAGGCCCCTTGTGGTGGAGAGGAGAAAGCATCTTCCAAAAGTGAAACAAACCAAAACCAAGCAGAAGTAAGTAGCAGAAAGCTGAAATCAAAGTCACAAATCTAACAAATGCATTATCACAGGTGAGTACAAAGAGCTTAATCATGAAAATATCTAAGAAAACTAAAATGACAAGAAAGGGTGGCTTTGGTTTTACCTGTACCAAACAGGTCTATGCTAGGAGCAGCATCTGGCTTAGGCGCTGCAGCAACTTCAGGAGCAGACTCAAATAAATCTAAGACCAAGAACACACATGCCTTTACTTCACTTGAAAAATCAAGTCAGAAATGGGATCACTTCCCAGTTCTGAACTTGCACTTTGAAGAATTCTGAATTAAGTAACAAATGGTTTCTAGAGAACCATTTAATTACACAGTATACATGCAGTAAGAGTTGTATATGCAACATATCTGAAGGACCAAAGAATCCAATATACTAGACAGAAAGAGTTCAACAACAACAACAACAACAACAACAACAACAACAACAACAAACAACAAATTACCACCAAAGATATCTAGAGCAGGAGGAGCAGTGGTGGTGGCGGCGGCAGAGGTGGTGGTAGTGGTGGCAGCGGCGGCGGCAGTAGTGGCAGCAGTGGCAGCTGCAGCAGCGGGAGCAGGAGAAGGAGCAGTTACGGGAACTGGAGGGGCTGTACTAGCTGTAGGGGTAACTACAGGAACGCTGGTTTCAGGTGGCTTCATTGCAAAGAGGTCCAGCTCAGGTGTAGCCTCTGCACTACCTTCAGACGGGGCAAAGGGGTCTTTTGGAAAGCAAAGTGGAGACACATACAGCATCAGTGAGGAGGAAATACAAGAAGGCATCATAACTACGGGTAAGACACAGCTTGCACACATACAGTATTTACACACTAGCTAGTCCTCAGGCTGGTTATATTTGACTACTATCCTATTTGCAGGGGTCAGCAATTGGGATGTTTTTCTAAAAAAAAAGAAAGTGTCATAGGTGCCATGAGCTAATAATGTGAAACAATTTGCAAAGTGCTGCAAGATTAGCCTACAGTAGAGACTGTCACTTCAAACCCTTTTTTAATCTAGTTAATTTGGTAGCTTTGAAAGTTCATTAAAACAACATGATGTATTTGAACTCAATGTTATAAAGGAGTAAAACACAGCATTAGAGGAAAAAAACATTAAGAGAACATACTTGCACTAACAATTGTCAATCTTGAGAAATTGTCAATTTAGATAAGTATGCACTTTATTGTCTTAATGTTTTAAATGCTGACGTTATTTATTCATTTATGATGAGTGATAGTTAATACTCAGAAGAAAAGAAAATTAGAAAAACATATGACTACATCTAACTACGAGGGTTTCACGTTAGGACAGAAAAGTAACAGACTGGCTCATGACTGTAACCCACCGTTTCCTGAGCATGCATCAAGTGCTGCTGCTACGGGGGTGGGGGTAGCTGGTGCTGTGGCCCCTTCGGATGCTGCAGGGGCCTCCCCAGGAGAAGCTGCAAAGGCATCTTGGGTGCGGGTTTTAAAACAACAGAAATTAAAGGAACAAAAAAGAGAAGAAAATATAGTAAAAGAACCAAGTTAAACTGTGAAGAAGGCTCCCTTATACAACATGAATTTCTTCAAATGCATTTTTATGGCCCATGCACTGCTGGCAAACATGAAACAATTATTCTTTGCACACCTTCATGTCAGTTAACATGCAAGTGGTACAGTGTTGATACTGCTGAGGCCTATTAGGATCCGACGAGATTCTCATTGTATAAGGGCTCTGAGAAGCATGTTTTATGTCTCATTAGAAATTAATGGATGTGAAAATTAAAATATAAAAATAATTACTATTGAAGATATTAAACTTTCATGTCCATATAATACGTATTCCCTGTTAGTAGAAAGTCTCCGACTAGTGGCTTCTAGCAAACACTAATGTCTTTAATGAAAATAATATTAAAGAGATAATGGCAAAGTAAACAATTTTAGTTTTAACATTTTTTTATAGTCTAGTACAGACAAAATTATAGTGATATCATGAGAGGTCTAGTACATATTTATAAATTTACATCTTTACTATCCTTGAAAAGCATCTTCAAATACTGTATAACTCAAGACTTTTAAAACAAGAAATATAGATAACAAAATTAGGGCATGATGCTATATCTTTATTTCTACATAAATTTATTGTTTTCAAGTATATTTTTTCTAGTCATTGGAAAATGATGTTTTCCACATATTAAAATATAATTTCATATTTTAAGACTACAGATGCATTATTATTTATAGAAGGAAGTTCATTAATATACAGCCAGGCCCAATTTAGAAATACATACTTTTTATTTTATTTTACTTTTTGGTACTGGGGATTGAACTTGGGACCTTGTGCTTGCGAGGCAGGTGGCAGCAATACTGAGCTAAATCCCTGGCTCTATAAACACCTACTTTATAAATGGCTAATATACACAAATGGTTCTAACAAATTTCTACCAGCAAGCCATGTTAATTATGGTAAAGTGTCCAGGAGCATACAGAGAATTTCCATTGTTTCAAAAGTACCCAAGGAATCAAGCCATCGTAAGTATGACAGACTTAAAAGAAGAAGCCTTGAGAGAGTTTGACCAGCACCCACCTAGCACCTACCCTGTATTGCTAGACTTCTCCATATCAAATGTCATCATTCACAATATCTACTGGTACACCCTAGAATACTGGTCTTCAGCCATTAAAAAGAATTTGTCAAATATATTTGGAAATGCCACGCAGTACATTCCTTTAGGAAAATACAAACAGGACACCAATTATTTATGTGCTGATAATTTGATCTGATTGCTTCTCTCAGTTACACTGGGGGAATATATGCTGAGCATGGAAGTCAGGGAGAGGCCAAATAAATCCTGGAGAATGAGAACTGCATCAAGAAATAGGGCAGGCTCCTTCCCCAGTTATTAGAGGACTTTCAGCAACCCGAAAATGTTAAGAGGCAAGCAGGAGAACACAAGAAAAGTATGGGAGGAGGGAGTGCTGTAAATATTCTGCCATGAGTCAGGTCTGTTTTCTTCCTTTTCATTCCTATATAATCTGGAACTGAGGCCAATAATATTGGGAAGAGCAGAAATAGAAATAGTCATATTTTTTGGATATGAATAAATTTACTTTCCATAACTATCTTGTGATGTAGCTTCTATTATTTCCATTTTGTTGAGAAAAGAAGCAAAACTTACAGATTTTAAGTGTTTTCATCACAAAAAAATGATTGAGGTAATGCAAATATTAATTTGCTTCATTTAGCTATTTTACATTCTATACAGATTTTAAAATGTTGCACGTGACAAATATATCTAATTTTTGTTGTTGTTGTTGTTTTTGTTTTTTGAGACAGGGTCTCACTATGTAGTTGAGACTGACCTGGAACTCACTATGTAGCCCTGGCTGGTCTTGAACTCACAGTGATCCTCCTGCTTCAGCCTCCCGAGTTCTGGGATTACAGGCATGTGCCACCATGCCCGGCTTTTTTCTAATTTTTTTTTTGTACCAGGTATTGAACTTAGGTCCTTGTGCTTGCAAGGCAGGCGGCAGAACCACTGAGCTAAATCCCTGGCCATATATCTAATTTTTATAGCTAAAAATATATCTAAAAAGTCTGAGTGACTTGGCCAAAGTCATATTGCCAGCAAGTGGCAGAGTCAGAATTTGTCTTGCATCTTTCTGGCTGAGATTTGCATATTTAGCCACTGTACTGCACTGTTATGAACCATGCTGCTCTCTGTTATACTTTTCCCTCCTAGGGCGATAAAAACATTAGTGTCAGGGGTCAAGGAGATATTCATGAAATGACCTCTTCCAGTCATCAGTTACATGAAAGAAGGTGAAACATATTTATGGCTACTTCCTCGGGCAAGTGTGCTCCCCAGCCCCCTATCAGTAACACAACTCCTTTCAATACTGCTCTTGTTACTTAAGACTAAATATTGTGAACATAACTCATCTAATTTGAGGAAGATTATTCCGAAAGCTGTTTTAGGCCCCAGCCTTCTGAGTCTTCCCAGGTCAAAACAGAGGTGAACGAGCTTCCAGGTGACCCTGCCCCAGTCACTTTCTGAGTGCAGTCATGACAGGGACTTTGAATGAGAACTGCCCTCGCTCAGCCCAGCCAACACCCAGAACTGTAAGAGAAAATAAAATTTTGATCTTGGTAAAACAAATACACAAGTAAAGCTTCTTGTAATAGCTAGTCTTTCTCATCGTCAGTGGCAGCATTATCTTTCTGGAACTGAAAACTAAAGCCTTTTCGAATCTAGTGCTCTTTCCATTTGCAGTTCATTTTACATTTTTCCACTCTTTCTAACACTGTTATTTTCAGGAAATGCATGCATGCTTCTGCTAGTCTAAAATTATAAGCTCAGGGCAGGTCCTCACCAGAAAGCTGAGCTGACTGTTGCAGCCTTTTTTATTTTTATTTTCCCTGTGAGCACTCTGAAAGAATTTTCCTCTAAATGACTACATTTCTCAAAGCTTCTAGAAGCTATTGTTTGTCCCACCCCTAATTGCTCCATTTACTCCAGCAACATATGCCGTCTGTAAATCCTATACTCAGCAAAAGGAGGCAATTGTTTCTCATCAGCCTCAGAGTCACTATTCTGGTTCCTATTCTTTTTCCAAAGACTCCAGATTATAAAGCTGTTACATGATATATAGCTGTGAGCGCTTATATTTAAGTAATGATTTTAAGGAAGGCTGATTGACTTAATTAACCAACATGTAGAAACAGAGTCAAGCCTGGAAGTTGTGTTTTTGATTCCCACCCACTTGATTTCCCACTTGTAGACCAGCATCCTCACAAAAGCTTGTTCGCAAACTGACACAGTTGATCCATAGGGTACCCTGTGTGCAACATTGAGGAAATACTATCAATTTGGCACTCTAGCACTTCCATGTTCCATGTTACTAATGTGCTTTGTAGTTTGTGCTTGCACATATGAAAAGCAGGATGCTTTTAAGAATTTTTCCTTTTTAAACTAAAAAAAAATATAGAACAGGGTCGAAGATTTAGCTCAGTGGTCCCGCTGCCTGCCTTGTAAGTGCAAGGAGATATCTATATCTATATCTATATCTATATCTATATCTATATCTATAATCTGTAACACTTCATGAATTTGCATGTCATCTTTGAGCAAGGGGCCATTTTAATTTTCTTGGTATCCAATTTAGTATATGTGCTGCCAAGGTAAGCACTAGATTATTCCTTTATTTTTATCAGAATTTGTAAGTTTTACTGTTTTTAAGCACAACACTGCCTTATAATCCTGTTTTACATGAGCACAGAAGTCTGTTTCTTAAAAGTTCACTTAAAAAAACAAAGTCCATTCTTTCTTTTCTTCACTTTTCTTCGTTCTTTCCCTCCTCCTTCCTCTCTCCTTACTTTTTTTCCATTTAAAAAAAATGTACAGTGTTGGAGTTTGAACCCAGGGCCTTAGGTATGCTAAGCAAGTTTTCTCCCACTGAGCACCCCCCCTCTGCCCATGTAATGTATCTGAAGACATTTTTAGTGACTTAAAAAAACTACTTACATTGAAATGACTAAAATGTTATGAGGGTGTCAATCTGAATATCTGTGTTAAAGGTAACAAATTACCTATTTTCCAAATTTGTAATTCACATACAATACTAAAAACAAAGAAAATTATATTATTTCATATTCATGAAAATAGCAAATTTTATGAAATTGAAATTCACGCTTATCACTAAAGAAATTTGATTAGTTGCTGCAAACATATAGAACCTCAAGAGAGTATGTTTTAAGTTTATGTAAGCAAAATGTAATATACATGTAATAAATTGTCCTTATTCATCTGGACTTCTACCACTTACTCATTTAGGGCTAAAAGTGTTTTAAAAAATAAATTTAAGTTTTTATTTAAAGTCAAATCTCTAAATGATTTCTCATAAATCAATAATGGGCATGAAAGAAATTAGGAAAATAATCACTGAAAATCACAGAGAATGATACATGCAGACTCTTGAACATAAAGGGTAAACTTTTTACAGCTGTCAGAGGCCAGAAGACACTTTATAGAACTATGTAGATCAACGCAATAATTGTGATGAAGTTTGCAGATGCATTCATCTTTACTCATTTTTCAGTTATATGACTAGACAGGGTAGTGATAAAATTGCAAGGGCCGCCCTGTTGTTTGGTATTAAGTTATCTAACTCTGTTACAGTTCTTGAAACTTGTATTTAAAGGTAAAAATAGCATTGTCATGAAAACATTTCCAAATGTACAGATTTTTCTGCTTGACAAATAGAGTCAAAGCAGTAATAAATGAAAGCAACATAATGGCTCAAAAAACACTTCAAAGAAGTATCTTGTGCTTTATTAGTCTAGAGAATATGCTTGCTGTGAGAGAAGCAAGAGTTAATTGATTCCCGAGAGGTAAAGTTCCTTAAAAGTGACTGAAAATCAAAAAAGTGAAACAGCAAAATATGTAGAAGCAGTTCAGCACAAAATTTTTACCCAGCCTGTCCATATTTTCCATTTTCCTTGAGTTTTCTGTTATCCCAAGCCTATGAGAAATTCCCTAAACCCAACACCAATAATGAAGGAACAGAGAAACAGTGCAAAAACACTGCTGTTATAAGTTGAGGCTGAAACTTAAATTTTTGGTCTCAAAATACATCAGGGCATAACTGAAAAATGAACTTTTAATTTTAGGTGATTCTGTTTAATAAAATACTGAAGGGTCTGCAATCTCCTCTCCTTTGCCTTTGTGAAAAAAACAGGCTTCTTCTTGTAGGAATGGCAAGACAGCAAGGTGCGAGAAAATTGCTAAATACCTGCCTTGGACAGCCTCACAGACTGGCAGAATGGTATGTGACAGGGTGTAAGTGTATTTTCCCAGGGAAATGGACACGTTCCACCAGAGTGTGCCAAATCTCTCCTCCCCTTACCATCATTTGCTCTCTCCAATTTCTTTGCTATATTGTCAGAATTCCCTGCGAAAGATGTTATATGGTAATGAAGAAACATGAAACTATAATGAATATACCACCACTTGGTTCATGTATTTTATATGAACACTTTTCTGGTTTGCATACCAGCCCCACTCAAATAAGATTATATAAATAAACTGGCTTTAGATGCTTTTTAGGTCTAGGCATATTATAGTGTATTTTAATACATCATAATTTACATTTGCCTGGAAAGCAAATTTCTAGACAATCATTTCAAAGACTGACTTAAACCTGTTTTCAATCACCATGTCAAGCGCTGTTTCAGATACTCTTTGAAAGCTCCAAAGTCAAAGTAAAATGATCCAAATCTTTACTTGGGCAAAACAAATTTAAAAGTTGGCATGAGTGAGGGCTGGGGATTTAGCTCAGTGTGAGGCTGCTGCCTGCCTCACAAGTGTAAGGTCCTGAGTTCAATCTCCCATACTGAAAAAAAAAAAAAAAAAAAGTTGCATGAGTGAGACCTACATTCTTTGTAGAGACCTCCAAATCTGAACTACTCTGAGAGGTTTTGCCCCAAATATTAAGAGACTATTTAAGCCAGCACTGCCTTCTCATATTCGCCAAGTAATCTCTGGGCTAGTTCTAATCTGGCCAAAAAGCCAAATTTGAATATGACAGAGATGCACCCTTCTTACAGCATTACCACACTGGGAAAGTGACAGGACAAGAGTTCTGGCAACAGCATACATTCTAATGTAAGAACAGTTGGGTTCAGAGTATTACAACAAAACTAAATGGAGGGAAAGTGGGTGAATTTGGCAAAGACAAACATATGAATGACCATTGGAAATGTATTTAAACACTCTGCCATGCTGTTATACAATGTAAAAAGATTTCACTTTCATGTAATTTTAGTCATTCTGAAAGGAAAATTTAAAGAGCATTGAAGTGACTAACTAACCTCCAAAGAGATCCACGTCAGCAGTGACAGCAGTCACAGTCGTGGTGGTTGAGGCAGAAGCTGAAGCAGTTGCAATTTCAGCAGTTGTAGTAGGAGGGGTAGGTTCTGGTGCAAATGGGTCTGTAATCTGTGCTTCAGAGGGAACAGAGGAAAGTGCAGCCAAAGAATCTATATTTTACCAGAGAAGGAGAGCAAATGGGAGAGAAGGAAAGGAAAGGACAAAGGATATACCAGGCTCCAAAATGTCACAACAGGACAGTAAACAAAATATAGAAGTCTCTAAAAAGAGGAGTTTAAAAATGAACTGTACTCACCCTCTCCCAAAAGGTCTACTGATGTCCAACATGTGGCAGCATATGAAGGAATAAAAGCTAAAGATGAAACATTCAATCATACCAATATCCAAGCAGGGTGAGGCATGGACCAAAGACATTTTAGCTCTATGTGCCTCTCCAGACCATTTATTATCATGGAATTTTCAAGAAGGAAAAGACCTTAGGGATCCTTTAGACCAAGAGTCCCATTTTGCAGATGAGAACACTGAGGACAAGGGAGGTCAAGAGACTTACCTGAAGTCTAGCCTAAACAGCTGTGACAAACTCAGTGTATTTCCTATCATATTTACCATTTCAACTGTTTTTTTTCCTGATTTCATTATACTAAAATATGTTAATTCTAAAAAAAAAGGCAGTACGGCTAGGGATTTAGTTCAGTGGTTCCACTGCTTGCCTCACAAGCATAAGGACCCGAGTCTGATTCCCAGTACCAAAAGTAAATAAATAAGTTTTAAAAAGGTAGTTAGCTGAACTTTGTTGATCTTCTTGATATGATATCATTATCAGAGAATAACAGAGAATAAGTGGTTTTTATCATAGCTGTAGAGTAGATCATAGAATAAACCAAGCATATTTAAATAATTGAATTCAAGATAAAGTGTTAGAAAAAAGAAGCTCTAAACAAAACCATTTCCTCCAAAACTTTCATATTTTCAGATGTTTTCAGCATGATGTATAATCTTGATACTTGTAAACGTTATGTGACATATACAGAAATTATTTTTAAGATGAATATGAGAGAGATGAGAAGGCATTAAAACTTTTCAGCCCTTCTGATATCTGGCTGCCATGGGAGATTGATATTTTCTTAGCTCAACAATGGAATCACAGTTAAACTTCTGAATAGGAAGCCTAACAGAGGTTCTTTTTAACTACAGACTGACTTCACGTTAAGCATTCAAGGTATCCTGTGGCATTCTCCTGTGTTCAGTTGTGTAATGTGTGATACACGTCAGGGCTCATGTTAGAATTCATAAATAGCATAGGAAATCTGTTTTAATTATGAATTTATTTAATTTTATTTGAATTTACTAGGGACTTAATTTCTAGGGCCTTAAAAACAATTTGAGAACTCAGTAAACTAAAATTAATAGAAGAAATTTATAAAACTGATAAACATAAATTTGATACTGAAAAGAGTAACATTGTTTATTTATATGAAAATACCATCTCTACATCAACAGAGGCTTTTATTTTTTTTATTTTTTGGTACTGGGAATTATACTCGGGTCTTTGCGCTTCCAAGGCAGGCCACCAAACTGCTGAGCTAAATGCCCGGCCCCTAACAGAGGCTTTTAAAAAATTCCCTTTACTGGTATTTGTTAGACATATATTTTAAAAATTTTAAAAATAAAATATAATGTGCAACCCCAATAAATATTATCTGAAGCATTCTGTAGATACATTAAGATAATAAAGATTCATATATTTCATAACATTACCAGACAGTTATACCACGTGTAGAACTTGACCTTAGAAATAATTAAATTTTAGACTGTAAACCTAATAAATAGCAGGCTAGGAGCAAAACACAAGTCCTGTATTGACCTGAGGGCAGGACATTTTCTGCTGTTAGGTGGTTAGCTCTAAAAATCTGAGAAATGGTCCTTCAGGTGATTCTTCAAACCAATAGTTGCTGGCCCAATACAACTGTCATCTCACAGCTACACATTTTAAAAATATGTTAGAAATCAAGGTGGGCCAAAAGAAGTCAGGCAGACTCTCTTTCTCTCTTCTCCTGGCACCAGTGGGGCCCTCACCAGCCCTGCCTTCATCAATGCTCTTTATATGATCAGTGACTAAACATGAATCGATAATTGATATCAGATTTTTTTCAATTTCTGGAAACTACAAATTGTAGTCTTCCAAATCTAAAGTTTTCTAGATGAAATATAATTTATACTACTAATTATTTTAGCCAAATTTTTCTCTAGTATAAAAGGGAGTCCCTATTTTAGGATGATAGGTTCAGTTATTACATATTACTGAAACTGCCATTTTATAAAGGATTAAACTACATACAAATTACAGCAGTGGAATTCAATTCATTTACAAGAAGTACATAATCAGAAATACTTTTCTTCAGAGAAATTACTAGAAAATGTTCACTGCAAACTAGAAAAAACTACAATTATATTAACAGAGAAAACTACATTCTTCAGTGAGATATAGCTAGATTTTTAAAGGTTATCATGAAGATCAAATTTGTAAATGTATTTAAAGTGCACACCTATATCTGGGACATAAGGGCTGATGATAGTTAATTATAGTAATAGTTAATACTTAGATGAAGTTAAATTTTCTTCTTTTAAGAGTGTGAATTTCAATGTTTATGTAAGTCCCCAAGTGTATGTGAGTGGTATATGTGTATACGAATGCACGGCCTATAGTTGTGTACTCAGATTTCAACATGGCAAGAACATGGGCCACAAAAGTACTTGTACTGTAGCTAACAACCCACATAGAAAATGAGAGTGAAATGATGACATAATATTAATTAGCTTTCAAATGCATACTGGTAATTGATTTCAGTTCTAATAAAACCTATCAACAACCCAATATTTCTCAAAAAGTAAATTTTACTTCAAACATTTATAAAGCTAAATTTGTACTCCTGAAACATAAATTTATTATAAAGCAAAACACTCTCCCTATTATGAAGATAAATAGAGATTTGGCAAATTCTATGTATTCTTCTAATCAAATGTCTACACAAATATCTGTACAAATGTCCAATCTTTACAAATACACCATCTCAACTGAATTTACTAAAGTATAAATTTCCTAAAATTTGCTTTATGCCATTAGAAAAAAATACTATCATTACAATTGTTCCCTGAAATGAAAATATAACCCTCATCAGAATTAATAGGCATCTGAAATTGCCATGGTCCTTGGAAAATGGAAAATGAAATTCTCTGATTATCAGTGTGCTTTTACAAAAATATTTAAACAGGTTTGTAGAGTTCTAGAGTTTGTATTTTACTCTCTACACAAAATTCAAATAAATTTAATAGTATGAGTACCTTGATCTCATCAAACAAGACTGAGTTTTTGTTAAGTCAAATGAGCCAATATACATCTATAACAATTTAGCACCATCTTAAACCACCATTAGGTATTTACAGGAAAAATACAAAGAAAGTAATTTTTTCCTTTTTGTGATAGTTTACAATTTCTTGACATATATTTTGTACAAGTTTGCTTAGAAATTACATAATTTATTAGCAATTACCCTAAGCTTTTCTATTGCTGTAAAATGCTTCAGTTCTACATATCTGCCGAGGCAGAAACACTGTATAAATGGTTATATAGTGACCAAAGCCAAGGTTTCTGGCAGCCAGCCTACCTGTGCCTTTGTATCATTTAAGAAAAAGTGCTCCCTCTAGTGGGGAAGGTTAAAATACAGCGATACAGACACACTAATGACAAAAGCTCACAGGGCACTAAATGTTTGATAAATTCGAAACATAAGCATGAACATATACAGATTTAAATTTGAAAGAATTTTTAAAAAACATATTCATATAAAACTGAAAAACTTTTTACATAGTCCAATAAATTTATAATTAAAACTAAATTTTAAATTATATAAGTTGTATTAAAGTCATTTATATGAATTTAATGGCTCAGAAAATTTGCTATAAGGATATGGATTTAGAAAAGAAATTGTAACTAGAAAACACTTTATCAGGACACTGATGTGATGAACACAAATTATTAGCAAACAAATAATAAAATTTTGAAAGATAAAGCTCAGAATGAAAACATGAGAACAAGAGAAATGTGCTTATAAAATCTCCTCAGCAATATTTTTCCACTGCCAACTGAATTAATTAATAAAGTATAAAGAATAACTTTACTCTAAAATTTGATAGTTGTAGGTGTAGTAGTTGAACATTTCAATACAGGAAGAGATTTACTTAAAATGGAAATAGGCCAACATTTAAAATGTTCATATTTATAGTTAGTAACTTTACTTCCAAACTGATTATCATTCTGTTGTTTTTATAATAAAAAAATCTTAGAAATAAGGCCAAGAGGGGTTGGGGATTTACCTCAGTGGTTCCACGACCTGCCTGACAAGCGCAAAGTCTTTAAGTTGAATCCCTTGTATCATAAATAAATAAATAAGGCCAAGAAACTACAGGGTGTACTTTTGATGACATACTGTTTGATAAACCCACCCTTCATTTGACATTGCTATTAACTGTTAAAGACTTTGATTATGAAATAATATACATATTACAGTTCCTTTTGGCTAGCAATGCCCATAATTTCTGTTTTTGAGAAAAGATAACCACAAGGTCTTGACTTTTATTACCTTATGGGATGTTAACAGTTCTGTTTCTAACTGTTATGGTTTAGATCTAGAATGTCCCCCAGTAACCTGATGTGTTCAGAGGCAGGGCTCTGGAAGGTGACTGAGTCATGTGACACCATAGCTGAATATGCTGTAAAGAGTCAGTGCCTGGACAGAAAAGGCAGAAGAGGTGGGTCACCGGGGGCATGACCTAGAAGGGGATAGCTCCATCTCTGGGTTCTCCTGCTCTCTGCTTCCTGGCTACTAGGGGTTGAATTGTTTTCCTCCACCATGCCAAAGTGGACTGAATCCTCCCAAAATCATGAGCCAAAATAAACTTCCTTGGTCCCAGAAATGAGAAAATGAGTAAGACACTAACCTAGCTATCATCTCAACATTTATTTTTCAAATTTTAGGGAAAAAATAATTTCACAATTAAATTATAATTAGGGTGGTTCTGTGATGCTGTGCTGTTCAAGAGCAAGATTATATCAGCTGAAATCATCCTGGATAAGAACCCAGTAGTAATACAAAAGAGAACATTTTTAGCTGGGGAGGGGCAAATTTCTTATCACCTTAACTCATCACACCTACCGCTGTAAAAATGTTTTTGCTCATTTCACCATCCTCTCATAGTAAAATCCTCATCCTCATAGGATTACCACCACCTTCTAACATCTGATACTCCCTTGGATTATAAAATCCTTGTGAATTTAGGATCATTGCCACTCTCTGAGTCATCTGATGATACTCCTTATGAATCCCCAAAATAGTGACAAGCTTGGAGTGTCTTTGTCTTTGCCCATTCTGAGGCACTGACATCCTGCCTACCACATACTTTGAAATTATGAAAGTGTCTATCGTCCATCGTCTCTTTTTTTCTTTAGCCCTTGCCGTCCCCCTTTCTAGGCAGTCAGAGGACTGACTGACTTCTGATAATGGATTGAGCAGCTTTCCTTTGATAGGCTCTTCTGCCTGCTGTTTCTTCCTTGGAGCCAGTTGACCATGGACTGAACCCCTTGAAACTATGAGCAAAAATAAATCCTTCCTCTTTTTTTTGGGGGGGGGGTTGAGACAGGGTCTCACTATGTAGTTGAAACTGACCTGGACTCACTATGTAGCCAGGGATGGTCTTGAACTCACAGTGATCCTCCTGTCTCAGCCTCCCGAGGGCTGGGATTAAAAGCGTGCACCACCACGCCTGGCTAATCCTTCCTCCTCTATGGTGGGCATTTGGTCCTAGTGATGAAAAGCTGATTAACAGTGAATAAATACAACCAATTCAGACCTAAAGGAATCCACCAAGTACACCTGGCCAAGTTAATTTAGAAGTGCTACCTTGAAATTCATGGGAATACTCAATCCTCTAAAGTCTGAATCTCTAGAGAGCAGTTAATAAAAAGTTTGAATTTTAACTATTAAAAGAATAGTTGGCACTTTCTGGCAAAGAAAAATGCATCCTTCATTCCAGCTATTAAAACAAAAAACGGTATGAGTACTTGAACATTTAAATTGTATTATGGGTACTTTCAGTCTCTTAATATATTTCAATCAGTAGATGCCACTCTTAGCATTTTGCCTTCAAACTTCTGACATGTCTGTGTATAACTAGAAGATAAATATAACAATTATAGCTTAAATAAAAACAACTACATAAAATGAACAGAGAAGTAGCCTGTTTGGTTCCACTCACCTCCCCACGATGTGGCTCCTCCTGCAGATGGTGGGGGTGCTGGTGCAGCGGCAGCAGCTGCTGCCTCTCCAGAGAAGTCTGGCTGGAGGTCCAGGAGATCACTTGACGGTTTCGAAGCACTAAAAGGAAAATATAACTTTAAAGTCAGATTTTGAAATTTTATAATGTAGCGCTCCATTAAAACAAAGACTTTTGCAAAAAAATCAAAGATTGGGATATTTTAAATCTAACAACAATATTCTGGAAAGTATAACATTAATAGCATTAATGGGTAGTATTCTATAGGTCAATAAAAATCATAACTTTGAGGCTATATTTACTTCCTAAAATTTTTGTATAGAAAATATTGAATCTTAAGAAAAACTGATGAAACAAAGAAAACTAAAGAGAATTACTGATTTACCTTTTTCCTAAATTAGACTATATCAAGTTTTGTTGTATGAAGACTCATCTATAATCACTTCTGCATGTTTCTGTTCTTAGTAGGTTGCAGTTACACTTTTCAAAGCTTCTTTATCTGCCAGTTTCAAGTGAAGCCTAAATTTTGCTATTCAAAATGTGGGCTCCAAATGAGCATTATTCTGGGATCTTATTAGAAATACAAAAATATCAGGCTATACCTAATATATCAGAACTATCATTTTAACAAGAACCTCATATGATTCACAGGCACTGTCAAATTTGAGGAGCACTGGTTTGAAAATCACCAGGTCAGGTACCAAGCGAGTAGGGTCCTAAATTTCCCAACCATCTTCATAAATAACAGTTCTATCTTTGTTTTTTTTAAAAATAAATATTAGGTTTCCTAGCAGTAGTTTTTATTAAAGGATTCTGTTGTTGTAAAAAAAATGTTTCAAAACCCCTGAAAGCATTGCCTAATTTTGATGTCAATTTCTTAAAAACTGAACTAACAGAGAAGAAAAACATATTTGTTAGTAGAAGCTTCATCACCAGTTCAGTTTATAGCTCAGAGTTAGAGCACTGTTAGAGCACTTGCCTAGCATATATGAGGCCCTGGGTTTGAGTCCCAGTAATGTGAACAAAAACAAAAATAAAGCTTTTAAAAAACTCAGTTTAGTGCAGAAAGGACTTGGTTTTATCAAGGTTGATTCTAAAAAGCAGAACCAAGCAAGTAGAAAGTAAAGCACACAATTAACATGTATATAATCCCTGGATTGATTGCTTACTTCAAAATTCCATTCTTCAAATAAGGGCATTCATAACAAAATTCATAGATACCATGGACTAGAATTCTATCGTCAAAAAAATTGACCCAAAATTATTATTTGAAGAGTGTTAGCAATTCATTTTAGGCAGCTCTGAGGCTGTACAGAATGCACAATCATCACTACCTTTCTCATTACTGTTCTGACATTCAGGTCTATAAAATCCGCTTAGGAGTATTCCAAAGGCCTCTTCTTATCACCAGAGTTTGATTCCTCATTTGCAGCAACTAACTGGACTACAGATACAAGTTTGTTGTTGCTTTTAAAGCACTTAAAATACCTTTACCTTTCTTACAAAAAGAAGCAAATTCTCAGAGATATTTTCCATATTAGCCAATTTCAAAGGAACCTGAAATATGTGTGCAATATTTCCACTTTTTTTCCCAAGTGTGTGAGCAACAGTGATTTCTATAGTTATGGTTCAATGATTTAAGAGATACAGACCCAACTAACTGCAAGAGTATAAAAGTACTTACTTTCAAGCAAAAATAAGCCAAACCATCACACTACTAAGAGTACATTTTATTTTGTGAAATCATTTGGGTACAGTACATGAAAATCTAATCAAAATATTAATAAACAGTTCACTGCATAATCGTTTACTAACCTGACTGGGACAGCTGCAGATGCAGTTGCAAATAAGTCAACTGGTGGAGATGTGTTGATAGTTTTAGCTGGTGTAGAATTAGGAGATGTAACAGTTGTAGCTGGAGAAGACTGAAATTGAAGGTATATAACACACTGTAGTCAAATACAAATCTACAGGACATGGAAGAATAGAACTTTTGCTTTGTAGACCCATATCATTCCCAGATATTCTTCATGGGAGAAAAAAAAATCTCAAGATAATTTGAAATCAGGAATTATACTAAAATAATCACTACTAGAAAATATATGCTTAAAATTTTAAAGTTAAACTTAATTTACATAAAATCTTATGTTTGTCCTAACATTGCAGTGACTTTCATTCGTATAGTTTGATTTAAAATTAAAGTTAAATGTGTATCTTGAAAATAAAATTATTGGAAAAGATTGTACTTGCTGCCATAATGCTCATTATAAAACTAATGTCATTTTTTTTCCATTGCATCCTAAATAGACTTTATGTGGAGAAGCAGAAGTACTTTTGCTTAGGCTCAGATGACTTAACACCTGGAAATTTAACTCAACAAATAGTTATAGCTTGCAGGGAAAAATTCATAAGCAAACTCCAATCAATATCAGTATAAGAACATTGGGACTATATCCTATCAGTAATATGAAATAAATAAATTAATTAACAAGTGAAACAAAATCTAAACCTTGTTTCCCTGTTTTTTAAAGAAGAGGAATTTATAGTCAACTATCAAAAAGTAAAAATTTTTATGGAGTGACTATCCTAATTCTATTTTATCTAGTATAGTTCATTTTCCTTATATCAACAAGAGAAAGATTAATGGAATATTACAAAATCATGGGGCAGGGATTTAGCTAAGCAGCGCCTCACCTGCCTTGCAAGCACAAGGTCCCGAGTTCAATCCCTGATACAAAACAAAACAAAGCCAAACAAAACAAAAAGCCAAACAACTCAAAAAACAAAAACCCCAAAAAACTCATCCATCAATTCTTAGCTTTCTAAGTGTAAATGAGACATAACAGTGAGTTAAAATACATGAAGACCAAGATGAATCAAACACTATCAGCTAGTGCCACAACTAGGTGTCTGGTTTGAAATAAGACCAAATTTAAAGGAAAATTTAAAAAGAGTACGAAAGGCTGAGGATTTAGCTCAATGGTGCTGCTGCATACCTTGCAAGGGCAAAGACCAGAGTTCAATCCCCAGTACCCCCGCAAAAAAAAGAGAAAGAGAGAGAGAGAGAAAGAATGAACAAGATAAGAAATGTATGGGAAATTCTAGACATAAAATAGTTTTTATTATCTATTCCTCTAAGAACAGAATTCAAGAATTCAAAATTTAATAGATGTGTAATATCTTTTCTCTTTTTTTATTTGTTTTTTGAGACAGGGTCTATGTAGTTGAGGCGGTCCTGGAACTCACTATGTAGCCCAGGCTGGTCTCGAACTCACAGCAATCCTCCTGCCTAAGCCTCCCCAGTGCTGGGATTACAGGAGTGCACCACCGTGCCTGACTAGATGTATAATTTCTAAACCCTCAGTTCTTCAAGAGACATAAACACATGAGCAGTATATATATTACTGCTCTGAAAATTTAAATTTAAACCTCTCTATTCAATAAAGTTCAAATTTTCCCAAATGAAATACAAATGATCAACAACAGAAAAAAAATTCACTAAAGTAAACTGTATTTTGTCCATTGTGGACATGGACAAATACAAAATTTTTTTCTTTTTAAGCAATACTCCCAAATAAGCACAAAAAAGCAACATTTATGAAATAACATTGAGAACTTCATGACTGCAAATAAATATTACCAGTGTAAATGCAGAAATGATGAAAGTCCATTAAAAGAGCCTTGCAGCAATAATCTGAGGAGATATGAGAGCTAGAACAATAGAACCCATATAATCCCATTATTATAAAAGACAACATCAGTAAAATTTTATTTGGCCAGAATGTGGAAAAAGACCACCTCAAAGTACACTACAATTTTTTTTTTTTTCTTTTGGTGCTGGGGATTGAACTTGGGTCCTTGTGCGTGCAAAGTAGGCCACCGAACCGCTGAGCTAAATCCCCGGCCCCAGGATACCACAATTATATCACACACTCTTTAGTAGTCATACGTTGGGTTTTTTCACATAGACATAGTGGCTTTGTATTAAAATCCAGAAAGTTTCTGCCTGTTTAATTTGTTTATTTGAAGTTCTAAGGGAACTGTAGGCAGCCAGGCACAATGCATGGTGTTGGAATCACCAACACAGTCAAATGATACACTTGAATGCCTATAACAGCAATCACAGAAGGGAAATTTGTCAGAGGAAAGAGCATATCAGTCACATTTTGCTTGAAAAATACAATGGCAAATGTGAACTATACACCTATGGACGTCAGTGTTCATTCCTTGTAATGCTAATCCTATCTTTCAACATACTAAAAAAAGAGACAGGGAGGTGAAAGTTATTAAAACTATTATAGTTATCTGTCTAAAAGGCATTCTTGTGGACAGATACCTAATTACAATTTTTCTCTACTATTAAAAAAACCCATAAGATCATCTGCTTTACTTATCTCATAGGCTGTGCTTTGGAATGTGTCATAACTAGTAAAACATTACACTGATACATTTATTTTCATTTGTAACATAAACACATGAAAATCTCTACTTTAAAAACACTTTATCTGACCGGGGATTTAGCTCAGTGGTTCCACCCCCTGCTTTGCAATCACAAGGTCTCGAGTTCGATCCTCAGTGCCCTCCAAAATAAAAAACACTTTGTCTCAAGAGAGGATTAAATTATATACACTTTATTACAATGGACTGAAAATTTAATATAAAGTAATATATGTACCAAATATTCACAATGAAGGTAAACATATATCATAAGCATGAAATAAAATAAGAATACTAATGAAAATGGGGAAAGGGGAACTAGAAACTGGGTAGGGTAGGGAGGAGAAAGGAAATTTAAAAAAATCAAGATAGTTATGTTCATGGACCTATACTACAGGATGAATGTAAACTTTATGTACTGCAAAAATGTACAAATAAATTATGTACTAATAAGAAAAAAAACTTTCTAAAATTTTAAAAAATCATATAATATGCTATTCCACTCCTTGGTATGTACCCAAAATAAATCAAAGTAGGGAATGAAACAAGATACTTTTACATTCATATTCTCAGCAGCATTATTCATGTTACCCCAAATGTAGATGGAACTCAAGTATCCATTGACAGATGAATGGATAAACAAATTATGGTATAGACACATAATAATATATTACTCAACCTTAAAAAGGAAGGAAATTTTGGCATATGATACAACATAGCTGAAACTTGAAGACATATCAATAAGATAAACCAGTCATGAAAGGACAGATACTGTGTCTACTTAAATGATGTAGAGTAATCAAGTTCATAGACAAAGGAAGTAAAATGAAGTCTCCAGGTCAGGAACTGGAGAGGTAAAGGAAAGGGAAGTTGCCTAATGAGTACAGACTTTCATTTCTGAAGATGGAAACGGTCTAGAAATGTATGGTGGAGGTTGTCACATGACTATGAATATATTTGATGCCACTGAAGCAAACATTTAAAGATGGTAAAATGGAAGCCAGGTGTGGTGGCGCATGCCTGTAATCCCAGCACTCGGGAGGCTGAGGCAGGAGGATCGCTGTGAGTTTGAGACCAACTTGAACTATTAGTGAGTTCCAGGTAAGTCTCACTACATAGTGAGACCCTGCCTCAAAAAACAAAAAACAAAAAACAAACAAACAAACAAAAACAAACAAAAAGATGGTAAAATGGTTTTAAAAAACTAAGAAAAACCAAACTTACCTTACTTAATGGAGAGGGAGCACCAGATCTAAAAGGCAACGTAAGAAAATTAAAACTGAATATACACAAATACATCTATAGGACATTCAAGTTTGATACCACTTTGTTGAACATTTAGTTTTTAAAAAATAGGCAAGTTATTACAATACTTTAAATATGCATTTTACTCAAATAGGTCTTCTTCCAATGTTTACCACTGACTTAATTTCTAGTATTAGACATTTTAAATTCAAAATTATTTTCTATCTAGTAACTTTGAGTTTATCATTTTTGCCCATGTCCACCAAAAACAAACTGTCCAATTTTCAGTTTTAAAAATTGGCCAATCATTGGGAAAAATAATGCTATATAGAATTTAAAAAAACCCTCTGGTTGATTATTATAGGAATTATTTTGTGAGAAAACTCACTATAATTAATTTTTGTCACTGTTTATTTAAGCATAATTATGATGCATAAAAGGAAGAACACCAGGATGCAAAAAAAAAGATCCTATGAAAAACTTGTGTCTGAGATGATTCATATCCACATTCACACTTCTGAAATTTGTGTTTTTAATTTCACTGCTGTAATAAAAATTTTCTAGGAAAAATATTCCTATTATCCTGTTATAACTAGTGAGACCTTGGGAAAAAAAAAACAACAACAACAGTAAATTGCACGCTTCTTTCTAAGAAAGAGAAGGAACATACAGGGGAAAATATTTTTTTAAGTTAGACAACTGATGCCACTGACCATTGTCTAGTAAATGATCCAGAAACAGCTGCCTGAATAGTTCACAAGTTAATAGTCTGAGATGGTAGAAAAATGAATAAAACAAAATAAAGACAAAAATACTTTTCACTCAGAAGCTGTATTCAGGGTCTTACTGGATGGAAAGGATGGCTTTCTAGTCATTTACAGAGAAAAATATCACACATAGTAGTAGCAAAACAGAATGAGAATTAACTTGAATTTTGTACAATATTATAAAGTTTCACCAATTTGTCATATTATATGGCAGATTTTATATACATTTACCTCTAATCACTCATTTCAAAGACTTTAGAAATAATGAGAAATACAGTGTTTTCTGTATCAATGAAAAGATACCTATAGACCTAAAAAAATCTAGTATAATTTAAGGTTGAAAATTCTCTAAGGAGTTTTTGTCTACTCACTGTGAATAATATATGTGTAAAGAAAGGGGAGTTAAATTTAAATAAAAATCCAAGAACATAATGGCCTGACTCTTCAAAACACAAAACAAACCATTTGATATGGTTACTTTCTGAGAATGAATTTAAATTAACTTGTCTAAGAAAATTTCAGAAACCAATTCTTTGTGGTACTAACACATTCAGAAAGATTAATACATAAAAGAGAATTGAAAATAAGCAAGGTTGAAATGTATTTCCCAGGCAATGTATAAAAACTGATAACCTGTATTTGCCCCTATGCAAGAATAAACATATAATAAAAATGATAGAATTGCTACCTGTTATTAAAGAATATCATACTTAAAAGCCAAGTGTGAAAAGTCATAATTAGCACAAGAATCAGCTTGCCAAAATCCTATTACTAAATGATACTCACAGTTATTCCATGGATTAGACAAATGAAAATCTTCTACTGTCTCTGTAAAGCTATCATCGTACTTACCACATTATAACTTAATTGCTTAATTATCTGTCTTCACCACTGGGTGCTAAATTCTTAGAAAAGAAGGAGCTCATCCCATTGTTTTATATTCTTAGTAACTTGGATTTTCTGTATTATTGGAAATTTTAAATGGGAAATAGATTCATTTGTATATCTGATAATAAATAAATTAACCAGAAGTTATAAAATTATTTTCTGGGAAATCAAGCTACCAAGATGGTGATCTATTCCCATAGATAAGATCTGACATTTTTGGATGTAATTTAGTAAAAAAGATGAGAACCAAAGCTTCATGGGTTCAGCTTTAAAAAGCGTCATTAGCCCCAATGATTAAATTTTGAGGGTTCCTAGGTTTAGTGGTTAATACAGTAACTTGCCCAAGTCTCATAATCTTTGGTGGCAGATTCAGAGCTCTGTTCCAAAATTACCTGCTGCCTAGAGCCTGTGCGTGCTTCCTGTTTCAGCCTACCCCATGGAAAGCACAAATAAACCTAGAATCATGATTGTTCTCTTACACAACACACAGATTGTTGAATCTTACAAATTCCTTGCTGAGTTTTCCATTTTACTGTTGGTCATTTTCCTTTATGAAAGAAATACTACATTCTTTTACATATAGTCAAGTGATATTTATTAAAAACCAATACTTATATATTTCTAATTTTATCTGCAGAAATCTAGTACATAGTGAACTGAGTTAGGAAAACTAAGGCACTAAGATAATTTTAGAAGAGAATGACCAATACAATAATCTAAATTCTGTTAAATGGTACAAATAAATCCATAGGCTTTTATGGAAATTTTGTTATTACTTATTTGATTAAAAACATTAATCCCTATGTAATTGAGTATAAATACTAGCCAGAAAAAATACAGATGTGAAAAATCTGCGTATTACAAATAATTTTTATTACAAAAGACAAACTTGAGTTTCCTGCACCCTCAACACTTAGTAAATCTATAGAATAAAATTATCTTTAATCTTGTGGAATCATAGAAACAGATAATATACAAAGGTATATCATACTGCATTGCATACATTTTAAAAAATAAACAGTGGATACAAGGCACCAAATATAAAGAGCATGCATACTTTTCATAACAGACATTTGTAAATCCTTTATTTTATGTATACACTAAAGTAGAAGTCTGGATAATTTATATTGCTACTCAATGACAAAGAAGCAATCTCAAGTAATCAAGTTTCACTGTGAAACTGTCTTTTGGTAATTCTACTATATTCCAGGGGGAAATCTTTTGTTTATGCAACAAATGAAAATTCTTTTACTTTACAAATTGAAGAAAAATATTTACATTCCTAAATGAGATTAAGTTTTGATCCAAGAAGACCAAAAGAAAGTAAAACCATTTATGCTAGTCACTGTGGAAGACAAAAATAAAGTCTAATAAAAAAACCCACAGCCGGCCGTGGTGGCGCATGCCTGTAATCCCAGCACTCGGGAGGCTGAGGCAGGAGGATCGCTGTGATTTTGAGACCAGCCTGGGCTACATAGTGAGTGTAGACTCAACTACATAGTGTGACCCTGTCTCAAAACAACATCAACAACAAAAAAACAAAAACAAAAACAAAAAACCCACAGATGTGCAAAATGGAAATAAATCAGTTTTAAATGTCATCAATACAAAATATGGAGTATTAAGAATGTTTTTTTGCATTTTTAGTAATTACCAAATGCAAAAAAGTCATTCAATACAGTACTCACCCTTCACTTAAGTTCCCAGGTAAGCGCAAACATACAAAGAAGAAAATAGTTAACTACTATAGTTTTTTTTTAAAAAAATAGGGAATAAGCAAAAGACAAATTCAATGTGTTTGCAGCCAATTTAGAAAAGAAATCTGACAAACATAAGATGATTTTAAAGTAGAAAGAAAAATATCTACGGAGAAGGCAATTCAGATAAAATATTACTGAGTTTTTATTCCAGTTCTCTAAATGTAACTAAATGTCCAGTTAATTTTTCCAAAAATAGCTTGCAGTGGCCACAAGGGGGTGAATTTAGACTTGAAGTTAGGGGTACGAAGGTACACTGTAGCTGGTGAAGGTTTCTCTGGGGACTGCAGTACTGGTAGCTTTAACAAAAAAAAAAAAAAAAAAAAAAAAAAAAAAAAAAAAAAAGAGGGGGAGAGGATGAACCTGTGCAGTGTATGGGGACTCTGAGGAGAAAAGAGTGCAAAGAAGCCAACTTGCAGTGTGCATGTAGCACTGCATGAAGACCCTTAACTCTGGGGGATGGGCATGTTTTCCTAGCTAACTAGGTCCTTCTGCTACAGAAGGTGCAGAAACATTTCTCAGGATCTTGTCTCCATTTGTGCAAACCTTGGGTAACTTACTTGGCTTCCCACATACCCAGATAGAGGGTGGTCCCAGCAAAACTGGAGGTGGGTGTTCCACACTGTGATTTAACATACATTCATGTCAAAAGCCAGATCATTCACAGCCACACCAAAACTGTAGGTAGACTGTGGAAACACCCTCGCCAAGTCCTAAAAGACCCATCATTCTGAGTAACTCTACCATAATTATATAAAAACTTTTTTACTATGGTTTTTATTTTAAAACACAAAGATGTCTATACTAACTTGGAAAAGATGACAGAAATAACAGTTAATGAAATAATCAGCAAAAAAGCACGAGAGAGACACACAAGCCTAAGTTCTGGGAGAATGTTCAAAAAGAAGAAAGCAAGAAGTTACATTGTGACAGCTTTATTACAGGTAAAGTACACATCAGCCTATAAGCCCTGCAATGAGCAGTTCAGAGATTGCCTCTGCTAAGTCTTTCTGTCAACCTAAATAAACATAAAGGTGGTATCACCAACAACAGATTTCAAGCTGATTCTGTAGAGATCTATATTAAATGTTTAGATAATGAAGTATAAAAGTTTCTAATTTTAGAACTAGAAAATCTACTGAAATCTCATAGGTGGAAAAAATAGCCATGATATAGAGAAGTTCGTGATGAAAGAAGGCTTCATCAGAAAGTAGGACTACAGATGGCTCTCCTTGGATGCATAAGATTTTTACAGGAGGATAAAGGTAGCATCCAAGACTAGCAGAGGTACAGTCTGAACAAGGGACAAAGACTGGAAGGCATCAGGTCTTATGAATAGACAAGTTTCAAGCCCACTATAGAAATAGAAAAAATCATAGAACCTGGATGACTGTGCATGCAATGAGGAAAAAATACTCAAAAATATAATACCAAATAAAAAGGTATGAAAATCCAGAAAAATGACACTTATTGTGTCTTGGTTGCTACCTGCTCTATAAAAAGATTCTTGAATAAAACATTAGTAGTTGTGCCAAGCTTAATGTTTCAAGTGAGGAGAAACCAGAGTCCTGGAAAGTATGCTTGAAGATTTTTTTTTTTCACAAAGAAGTTGGTAACATAAGAGTGTTCAAGGCTGATACTGAAATTGTCTTGTTTGTACATATGACCAGCCATAAAATTTTAAATTTTTAAACATAATCAGCTGTTTCCCTGTATTATGAATTATTTCTGAGGGCAAATATGTAAGTCATCAGATTCCATCAACATGGGAAAACTCTACTAATTTCCTACATCAGCAGGTGGACAGATTGCCTGGACATGAGATTACACTGATATAAGTGAATTTAGGAAAGGCAGAGTTCAGAAGGAACCCAGAAAAATGACAATATAGCATACCCTGAAATTGGAGTAGTATAAGCTGCACCTTCACAAATATTTCTTATAAAAAAACTCTAATATTTTTCATCTTATTTAGAATATACAACTAATGCATACTTGTTTCCAGGTTTCTTTCCTTCTAATGTATTTAGATGCTGTTCAAGGGTCTCCATTAGACTGCTGGGAGCCTATAATAAGAAAGTAAAAATAAATGTCTGCATTGTTTTCTTTCAAAATAAACACTCTGCAATATCACTGCAATTTTTTATGGTGGAGGTCTGTGAGTGGATCTCAATATTTATGTGAGATAATTTCATGTCAGGTTCTTTTGGTGTTTAAATATTAAAATTCCATGGGTTCTCACTTAGGCACATCTTGAATATACTAACTGCACTATATACCAAATAACTTTATAGTGTGGTTTCATTGTGGATATTACATTCGTAGACTCTTACTGATATTACTTAGATGCAGTAAACTCAAATCAAATTCACTACCACCTTCCCATAAAACCACAGTGAAAATGGAAAAGGAATTTGTATCCTAAAAAATAGTACCCAAATACAGATTTACAGAAATTTGAAAATACAGTAAAATCTCACTTATTCATATTTGACTGAAACGTTAGGAAAATTGTTATCTTATTTAAAAAGGGAAAGTTAAAGTTGTGAAGAATAAAATATAATCTTAACAGTAAAAATTAAATTTTATTATTGAATCAATTTATATTCACAGCGAAGTACTGTGTATTGGCAGAATTCATATAGTTTACTTTTATTAAAAAATTCTTGAGGGTTTCCGTCTTTAAATAAAATTTTAGACAATATGAAGTGATGGCATTTTACTATATATTAGGAGAAATAATAGGTTCATAAAAGTACTCTATCCAGTTTATTCCTCAAGCAATATTTTATTTCATATTTCTAAAATAAGCTTAGTTCAAATTAGGCCTTAAAATTAACATAGGCATTCATTTCATGACTGAAACATCTAACTAAACATACAGATACATTTAATTTTTTTTCAGCTTTAATTGAGTTTATTGGTACATTTTAGGGATACAGTACAGTTACATTCATTGTTGGGATCTTGTACCTCTACATGACAAGTCTTGTTTCTCTTAATTTTAATAATTTTCAATGTGACACTAATTTTGAAGGACTTTATAGCAATTATGCTGCTAAAATAGCTCACAGTATTAAAAAAATCATATCACTGTAAATTTTATGCTATACTTTCTTTTTTTTGGGTACCAGGCATCAAACTCAGACCCTTGCGCTTGCGAGGCAGGTGGCAGAACCACTGAGCTAAATCCCAGGCCCTATGTTGTACTTTCCATGACAATATTTTATTAACATTTTTAAATTTTAGAAATTCAGGACATTTACTTAATATTCATTTAAATTTTGCTAATATAATCATAAACTGCCAACATTTATATTACCGTATATTTTAAGTACATGATTACTAGAAGTATAAATTAAGTTAAGGAAAACATGTAAATTCATAAATACATAAAAATTACTAAGTAAGTAAAAATACTAACTTGCTAAAAGCGATAGATATAGGTTAGAAAGGGCAGATCAGCATTATCTAAAAAGCTTTGGATTAAAGAATAAAAGGTATTAAAAAGGGTCAGGGATTTAGCTCAGTGGTGCCGCCACCTGCCTTGCAAGCACAAGGTCCCGAGTTCAATCCCAAGTACCAAAAAAAAAAAAAAAAAAATGTAATTAATTTAGAAAATTGGATTTTAAAAATATAACTCAGGCAAAGATTGAATTGATTCACAAATTACAGAAACTGCAGCTAAAGATGTTTTTAAAATAAATTTTTAAGAGGGAAAAACTATAAAGAAATGCTCACTGAATGATGACTATACACTGTAACCTTAAAAAGAAAAATTATGAATGCTTCCAATTTTTTAGATGAGTTAATAACTTCAAATTGTTGTAATAATTGTTGATGGTGATGATTATGATTTTAATGATAGAACTATGAAGCCTGGGTGTATAAATTTAAACTTTTTCTTGTTTCCATGTTTCTGGTGAAATCATGGTAAGAAAATAATATATCATGAACCTTTTTCCAATTAGAAGACTCAGGTCCTCTGAATGTTAAGTGAATGGCAAGAAACCATGATTCACTGCTAAATCTATATTTAAAATACTGTTTAAGAAAAGTATACCTTGTTTATAGTTACAAAATAGAGAACAACAAATATAAATAATAGAAATGGTAATATTTTCTACATTTCCTTAGTTACCCAAAATAAAACAAAGTATTAGGAAAATAGACTGCAATGTAATTCTTCTTATAACATTTCTTAATAAATTAGATAAAAATTTAAAAATGAAGTAGAAATCACAAAAATCACAATAGTTGAAAGGCACATCTCACAAAGAAATATAAAGCTGCAAAACACTTGCAACGGGCGTGAATCAGCAATACACCACATGTAAATTAAGTTTGGAACATCTTATCACAGATGTCGTAAAAGTGCCTCATCATTTATTTTTCTTATGAAAATATAAAGAATCTAAGGAAAACAACTTCCTCAAATGTCTTTTGAGAAAAAAGTATTTTCATAGCAATATCCAGGAGCACAATAATGTATGCCTTTTGCTCAACTCTACTTTTGGCCCCAAGGATATCCTCACATACAGTACAAATGAAAATGATCTACATTTTAGAATACAAGTCTTTTGTAAAAGAAATGGAAGAAACAATGCTGTTGTAAAAGAAATGTAAGATAAAATATAATTAGCAACACATTTATCTGCTCATTTAAAAATAGCAAAATCAACTAATCATTCAGATGGAAACACCAATTCAAAGAAAAAAAGTCAGTTATAGAAGCTAATATATAACAGCAATATATCAATGGTTACCAATTCATCAATGGCCTATCTTTTTATTTTTGGGTGGTACCAGGGATCAAACTCAGGACCTTGCATTTATGAGATGGACACAATGCCACTGAGCTAAAATCCCTGGCCTTTCAATGGCACAATCTTTTAAAGGAGACTTTTTTTTTAATCAATAGTTTTCAGGTCAATCAGAATTCCTGACATTAAAATCTAACATATTTTTCATATTTGGAACACACACAAACACATACATATTGAACAAGAAGTATTTTAAAAATTATATTCTAAAAATAAATTCATGACTGATTATGATGTTCAGGATCAAAAAGAAAGAATCCATCTAAAATTTAGGTGTTTTAAATTATAAAGCATCATTGAAATCAAATGGAAAAAACCAAAAGATTATTCAAATTATGATCATCAGACATAAGCAACCATTTGAAAGTATTTCAGTTTTGACATTGTTTACTTCTTATCCAAAAAAGTACTTTTAAATATCTTATAAAAAATTTCAGTGATGTTCAATAATCATTTAAATGTAGTTATGATATTACAGGCACAAATTTAAAAAGGCTACAGATGACCGTACTGGTATTTATTGTGCATTCTAAAAGAGACACATTAAGTTAATAAACCTAAAAGAGACACATTAAATTCACAAAGATATTCATTAAATTCCTTGTACAATTTTTTTTTTCTGCAAGAGGAGTTTTAATCCTCTTTTACTCATGAGTATCCCATTCCAACTCTCAGTCAAGAGAAGTCCCTCTGGTCTCCATCATTTCTTTAACACTTTTCTAACAGAGTTTTTTTTGCCTACTGTTATGTCTAGATTCAATTGTCATGTTAGCCATGGAGAAACCTGGCATAGAGTAGAAATCTAATCTCAAAGGAGTTGAGCTGAATTCATTCAACCTGGCATTCCAGATCCATCTCTGAATTTATCCTGGTCTAATATTATCTTAAGGACTAACCCCAGAATATCTTATATTCCAGCCCAGAATTATTGTACTGTCATAGTGAGTCTAAATCCTAAGCTCAGTTAGAGACCTTTATCAGCCCAAGGAGGGGCTTTAAATAAGAATCATGGAGGGTATTTAGTTCTATTTTTCACAAACCTAAAAAAATAATAATTAGGTTACTTCAGAAACATGCTATAATATTATATTAGAATTTAAAGGTATGCAGGAGAATTTAACTAGGTAGTTTTTATGGGGAGGTTATATATTTATTTATTTATTTATTTTGGTACCAGGGATTGAATTTGGGTCCTTGCACTTGCAAGGCAGGCCACTGAACTGCTGAGCTAAATCCCCGGCCCTGAGAAGGTAATTTAAAAATAAATATTAATAATGAAGTTTATGTACCTCTAAAGGTACATAACAGAAGCAAAGGATGGAGTATGACTACCTTTTAATGAATCTCTGCCACTTAACAGCTTTCAACAGAGGGCAAAATTTTATTTCTTTGATGGTGAAGTATGATCCCCTAATTATGAAAACATACACCTTATATCATTTTATTAAATATGTCTCTGGACTACTAGAGAGATTATATGAACTATAATGACATCACTAAAAATTAAACCCAAGTATGTGAACCTTTCTTTCAATGACACACTATCATTTTCAAATTTAAATTTAAAAAGTATTTAAGTAGTCCCTTAAATCTTTCCTAGTTTCTATGCACACTTTGCCCGGAGACAAACAATATGAAGGTCTCTCTGACAATATATCTAATTTTTGCTTTATGCCACAGTGAAGTCTGTAGTATTATAGATATGCCATTTCTAAAAGCTATTTATTGAGCTAAACATTTTAATGTCCTTCTTCCTAAAGTGAATGTGTATTATTTATCTGGGATATTTTGAGAAAATTAAATGTAAATTATTTTATAGCTGAATAAATGAGAATCGTTATTTATTATTTTATTATTAAAGGTAAATCTATCTCTAATATAGATTTCTACATAACGTTTTTATGCGTAAGGTTTAGTTAACAAACACTAGTTTCTAGTAGTAGCAGAAACTTTTTATACTAATACACTGTCTGATAGATGGAGCTATCTCAGTTATTAAACTACAAAATCCAATGTAATCATGTTCTGAACTTCTGACTGAATTTTGTGAAGAATTCTTGTTAATTTATTGTTATTTTAATAATATTAATTCATGACCATTTGTTTGGATGCACCTAATTTTTTAATAAAAATGTACTGGTAAGCATTATTTTAAATATGTATATATTTCAAGGCATTATAAAGAGAGCAAATTATTAAACAAATTATTAAAAAGTGTGCAATTTCAGGCTTGGGATTTAGTTCAGTGGTACTGCACCTGCCTTGCAAGTGCAAGGTCCTGGGTTTGATCCCCAGTACAAAAGAAAAACAAGTGTGTAATTTCATTATGACAATTTTCTTCTACTATGGTGACTTTTTGAATACTGGTATATGAGATAGCATCTCTACATTGCTTCCCATCATCTATACAACATCACTTCTAGTTAAAAAGTATGTTTGAAACAGGAATTTGATAATGGAATGATTAAAAAAAAACAGTTTCTGCCGATTATGAGAAAAATCTTAAAGTAATCCTGTATCTCAATGACCTCAATTCTCTTCTGTCATACAAGCTGTGCACTCTTGACAGGTAAAATGATTACGCTCTATTATTATTGTCATCACATACCAAATGGACCCCAGAAAAATATCACTAACTGATCACCACTATTTTTTTATTAAAAAAAAAAGAACTCTTTTTAAATAAGAGAAATTCCTCCTCTTCACAGAGAAGTCTAGAATCAGTATAGAGCAACTGTAACAGTTGAGTTTTTCTCATTTGTGGTCCTCCTTATACCAAGGACACACTGGAAAACTAAACACAAAAGAGGAAGAAAAGTTCTAGTGTTTTGATCATCATGCCTCTATGCACAGTCATATTTCACAGAAAAACACATTTTTTACTAAAATTATTCAAGGCTTCCTTTTGATTCAAGTTCAAGAATGAGAAGATGAACTCAATTTACCAGATTGAATTGCCTTTAAAGAAGAAACTATATCTTAGGAGCAGGAAACCTTTCCGTTACCTCCAGTAAAAGTCAAAAGCTGAAAAAATAAGATAGAATAATTTCCAAGATAGCTGGTTGGCCTAGATTCGAAGTCCAAAAATGCTTCCAAGATAATATTAGAATAATAATTTCAAGCATACTGAATCCTCCACCAAGAGCAACACTTACCTGTGTAAGGTCAGGAATGTCACCTTTATCAATACCCACTTGCTGTGGATTTAAAAAAATGAGAAGTTACTTGATGGTAGTAAAATATTTTTGCATTTAACAAAAGATCACTGATAGAATTTGATTAAATTGTAGTTAAATTCTGGTGTAAAGGAATTGTATTTGTCTATCCATTTAAAAATGTGTTCTTTATGCAGTTCTTCACTCAACAGAATAGTGGCTTAATAGATGTATAATTAATGTATTTAATTAATATATAGAATTTGGCTAGAGTTTAAAAAATGAAAATAAACTGAAACATAAAATTTGAAGGTCAACAGCAACTATAAATCTAAATGATACACTAAGGTAATAATGCCTATTAAGTTATATGATCAGGGTTATATTTAGTTTTAAAAACTTGTTTACAGGGAAATTTCTAACTTTTCACACAGAAGGAACCACTTTGGTATTTCTTACCCACCCAAATTTATGTATAAGCAAGAAAATAAGAAATATATCTTTATTTCCCCATTCTCACACAAATAATAGCATATTATATACACTGGATTCATATTTTTCATACAACCATATATCTTAGACATATATTCATATCAATATATAGAACTTCCTCATTTTTTTAGACAGCTGCATAGAACTTCCTTGCCTTACAATTCAATGACTAATTTAATAATGAATATACAGTTGCTTCCAATCTCTTGCCACTGTAAAAACTATTTCATACACCATCTTGTATGTGTAGGCTATACCCTGGTAAAGGAGGTAGAAGCATATGAAAACTGATGATATGGTTAGCGTGGGGACAGGCTGAAGAAGGGCAAAGGGAAACAAATATGGAAAATATTAATAAACCTGAAACAAAGAGAATGTACTGTATGTATCCATTAAACTCTATCAAAATGTTTGCAGATTTTAAAAATATTCCAAATAAAAAGTTGAAGAAAATACCAATCATAACTTCAATTCTATCACTTTATAAAATAGGTAATGAAACTGAGGATTAAAGAAACAAAATAGGTTAAAGTTCTCCTTGACAAATGAAGTGCTTTCTTCATAATGATGGAAATGGAGGAGCAAATAGATGAAGTAAAAGCTCTGGGCTCCTACAAAAACAAGGCAAATGGGAGGTTTAAGGCCTTGTTTGTGTGTCGACTACTTCTTTTTCCTTTGCTTTTTCTATGGCTGAAATTGGTATTTTGGAAGGATAATTCCTTATTGGTGACTGTCCTATGAACCATAGGATGTTCAGCAACATCTCTGGCTTTAATCCAGTAGGTGCCAGTAGCCTGCCCCTACTTTGACCCCTAGAACAATCTTCAGATGTCCTGGGGGAGGAGAGGAGGGCAAAATCACTATACTAACTGCAAATCACTGGCTTTCTTGTTTCTGGATCAAATTATGCTGGGATCCAGAATTTCAGATTTTACCTTCCAATGACTGAATTTTGGCTTTACAGAAGCTATGGAGGCCTCCCTATACTCTATTATAAATTATGGAAATGATAAACTTAAGTAACTTCATTTCCATCTAAGCACCTGTTTAGATGATGAATTTAAAATATTATTTTGAATGATGAAGGCATTTTAACATGAGTATATTATGGATATCTAATACTGTGATAACTTTAGAGAAAAGTAATGTGTTTCGATTAAGTGGATAATGCTACTCAGCCATAAAGAATGACAAAGTAGATTCATTCATAGGTAAATGGGTACATTTTGAGGATATACTCCTAAGTGAAATAAATAAGTCACAAATATGCAAATGCTGAATAGTTTCTCTGGTGTGAAAAACTAAAATAGCACTCAAGATCCTAATGGGACAATTAGCAATGTAAAATAGGAAGAAAAGGACCAAAGGTGTGGGGACAGTAAAGAGGATAGGGAAAGGGGAATAAGAGAAAAGGGAAAAAATATGAGAAAATGTAAAAATGGAATTAAAGTGTTTGAAGGTAGGGAGGGGAGGAGGGGGTAAAGGGAGGGTGGGGACAAGGGGAAAAAATGAGAACCAAGACCTGGCATGTAAAGGTACAAGATCCCAGTAATGAATGTAACTGTACTGTCTACCTAGAATGTACCAATAAATTCAATTAAAAAAAATTCTTTATCAAATTGCTATTTTTACCTCCCTGAACATCTGAATCACAACGTGACTATAAGGTTGAGGTGAAGTGTATAACAGAAATCTAGTCATTTTCTGACTGCAAATATTCTAGGAGATCTAACTCCCATGAGTCTGATATTTACCTTAGAACAGCAAACTAATAATAATGTGGTTCTATGAAATGGAATACTATAGTATTTTGCAGAAATCCCTACTGCCTGTAAAAAAGCCATTTTACAGAGTTTCAGTTGTCTGCTTTACAAGATTTTCAGTATAAAAATCCAAGACATGGTAAGTTCTTTGTACTTCAAGCTATTCCTCTGGGAAATTTGAATATCTCCATAGAAATTGTTCAACTGTGCTATATGAGGGACAACTTATTATTATTTTACAACCTTCATAGTGGGAATCAAATGCAAAATCTTGCATATGCTAGGCAAGCACTCTACCACTAAGCTACATCCCCAGCCCCAGTTACTTTTTTCATATTTTTATTTTTATATTTTTATTACTACATGTGTACAGAATATAATACTTACATTCTTTATGGAGAGTCGGTGCATGTATATAATATATCTGAATATCTTTTTTCATCCCCTTCCCTTTTCCTACCTCCTTCACCCATCTTTTGATGCCCTTCCTTTTTTTGGTACATATTCATTGTACATAATGTCTACATTTCTTGTGTGGAGGTGATACATGACACATGTTAATTCCTTTTGTCAACCTCTGTCCTTCCCTTCCCTCCCTGTCCTCTTCTTTCCTCTCACTTATATTTTGTAAATAGCATCCTAGAAGTCTTCTATAGACCCTTCAGGCAAATGGTACTAAGTACAGAATATCTATTAAGTATGGATCCACACATAAATATACCACATGAACACTGTTGGGTAGGGAGAAGGTCTATGCAATTTATTGAAAAGTTTCTGTATCAACCAATCATAACCAAACCACTCAACACTGTCTTCAAACAGTGTTTAAACTGTGAATAATTGTGAATAATGCAATTTAAATATCACAGAGACAAATGATTTAGGTTATTCCATAATAGTTAATGTGTTTATTCTATTCAAAATAATCCCATAAATTAGTATCTACTCTATAAAATGTCTTATAATATTCAAATAAAAATATTTATTATGCAGCTATTTAAAGGTAGGCTCTTAAAATAACATTAAATTTCAGTGTATCACAGTAGCCTAAATTTTCCTTGTGCTATTATAGACACAAAGTCTAATTTTATGTGTAAAAAGTTGGAGTCAACAAATAGCCTTTTCCTCATGAAGCTCCTGAATCCAGCTTTATTATGCTGACTACAGAAATATATACCCAGGCCATCACATATCCAGTTGTTTACTCACACACAATAATAAATGGGAGAACTGGGAATCATGTTGCCTAGCATTTAACAGAACAATGAAATAATCTGTTGTGAGTTCTTGGGTATAACTAATCCTTTCACAGAAAGAAATTAGACAAATTTTAATAAACTATATCGATAATTGTGGCTAATCCATGGGGAAATCATACCAAATATCAATCATGAAATCTGTGTAACAGCAAGAGAAAAAAAATTCAACCCATGTTTTACTTTTCCTTAAAGACAATCACGATTATTAAACCCATGAGGAAACACACATGAACATACTCTAATGTACATGCAATTTACATAAGTTAACACCTATGTTTTGTTTCCCAGGCTAAAACATATTTTTATTCCAATTACATGCTGTACTTGTCAAAATTCAAGAATTAAAATATTTAGGATAGAATTTTAGTCTTAAAATTTGAATGTGACAATTATTACTTCTGTGACAATGAGATCTGAAAGATAATGTATGCACTATAGTACTTTTGAAATTGTGTTTTAAATATGTGTGCTTATTCCATATTCTCAAAATGATAAAGCACCACAAACATGACGTGAATGTTCCATATCCAGGCTCTGGCTGTTGAGCCTCAGAACCTCTCTCGCATCACACTCCATTAAGTTTCTAGCAATCATTTAGCTGACATATAAGATAAAAATCCACTAGTCATCCTGCCAAAGAACTACAATAGCAATGTCAAAAATTTCCAATATTAGCATGAATTGATAATTGGATTTTGTATGAAAAACACAATTTATAGATAACCTCAGGAACTAAATGTATTGCTATACAGTTATTATGATTAAGTATAAAGAAATATCTTTCAGGAATAATTTATAAACTTTACAAAATGATTTACACTTTCTATTTTATTGTTCACTGTGTTTAAATCATAAAGGAGGATCGGAATTTATGATTACACATTAAGAATAATGGACAGACTTTTCTAAAGGCAAATCTGGAGTTCAATAAAAAGGGAGTTATTTCTTAGAATCAGAGAGCATTTAGGTAGAAAGAAGGAATGGACCATCTTGCAAATTAGCAAGGATCTTACTATCCATGAAACACTTATTTTAATGTAGAATGATCATTTGGGAGAGAACAGATGACTGAGATGACTTCTAAGGTCACTTCTAAATCTAAGACACTGTGACTCTGCGGTAGACGTCTTGCCAGACTATATAGTCTATAACACTATGGATACACAAACTAATAGCTTTACAATTAAATCATATTTCCAACAAAATTTAATATTACTCACCTCTGCAACCTTGAGAAATTCAGACACTCGTGTCATTCTAGTTAGAAATCGTTTGTAAATTTCTAGAGCATCTTTACATTGTCCTTTCTTCATTTCAAAAAACTTTTCTAGAAGAGACAAAATGATAAGCAATTGGAAAAGAGTATTCTATTTTAGTCCAAACTTACATTAACCCAAATACTAATTTTTTTTGCAGGTTGTACAAGTTTATTTTTCTAATATCACAAAAGACACACAAGAACAGTGCTTTTCTCTGGGCAAACCCATGAAGCAGACCATACCCTTGAATGGCCCCAAATGTCCCAGGAGGAAGAAAAGGAGTGGACATGTTTGGGGCCTCTGCTCCCAATCTTTGGTAAACAGACTCTTGAACTGACAACCTAGACTTCATCTCTACTGCATTTAAATCACTGTATTTAAATACATATATATTGCATTGCTGATTTCTCACTCATGCTTCAGATGACAATAATGCCACCTCAGATTTATTGGGGGAGATTAATTTTCAGATGAGATGAGATTTGCCTAAGGTATACACATTTTATTCTTAAATTTACTACTTAAATTACTACTTAAAACTTAAGATTTGAACCAAAACGCTTGGGCACTACAGCCTATAACAAGTACTTAAGCACTTTAAGGAGGGGCCCTTGAGCAGCTTAAGAGAGATGTTATGGCCCAAAATAATCATCTGTCCACATGAAACAATGTAAATAATGAAAAAAAAAGAATACATGAACTGTCAAAACAGGTTACATGTAAAATCATCATCCATATATTCCACCATTTAGTCTTGAAAAACAGCAAATTCTTCCTAACAATTTCAGAAAGTTATAACTATATTCTACTATATTACATCCTTATTTTATCATTAGTTCATTATAAAGCAATAATTATATATTATAATTTCTCTGAATTAAAGAATTCTTTAAATTTTTGATACTATATAAATTGATACTTGCTTTTGTTGGTCAAATATTATTTTTTTCAAACATTATACAGGAATGTAACTTTTAGTTATAAAACAGAGTTTCTGAAAAACATTTGGCTTGTCAAACTCTGAAGGCTTTCTGGATTGTAATCCTATTCTCTTTCTCAACCTTTAGCTTTAAGGACAGAAAACAGGATCACTTTGCTGTTCTCTTTTGCACTTAGAAGACTAGAATTCAGTCATTCCTACTGTAAATGTATCATGAGAGTGTTTCTCCCCGATACACTTTAAAGAAAAATCACTATTTCATCAGTGTTTGCCAGTCATTCACAGTACAGCAATGTCTACAAGAGCTTCTAGGCAACTCTGGATTATAACTGAAGGCCCAATATCTTCTTTGTAAATTCATTATTTTATATTTGGATGTGGTTAAATACATGCTACTTTTATATTCTCTCATTCTTGAGAGTTCTTTATGACATTTAGTGTATAATTTTACTACCCTAAAGTATTTTTAATTTTCTCAAGAAAAGTTTAATAATATATAATTATGTAAAGAACTAATTATCCAGGGCAGCTACTCATTACCTTCTGTTGACAGTCTTTGGGTAATTTTACTTTTAACACAGACCTCCCCTGTAGGGCATTTAAGAAAAGCAAAAAGATCAAGAAAACAAACACATATTATACTGTTTTCTACTTGTGAAGGTTTGAGAGAGAATTGAGACTTTAAAAATGACCAAATCTGAGGACACTTTCTTTGTCTACACTATTGTTTCTCTCATACTATCAATAGAATTATGATACTATATGTAAATAAATCATTTTTAGTCTAAAAGGTTAAAAATAAAGGAATTCTGGCAAAACATACTTTTCTTTCTGTATAAACATCTGCACATAAATAATTTCCTTTAAATATCTAAATTACTTATTTTTACTACAATCTAAGTTTACTTCTTTGCATCGGGTCTTTATCAATAACACAAAAAGAGAAATCAAACTGAATAACCTCAATTTTCCTTCAGAAAAATACACCAAAAATTTAAGCAATTTCTCTGGATTCAGAAACAAAAGAGATTCAGTTACTGTAGCATCAGCATATAATCTCATAATAATTTCTGTGATGGTAGTAATGACACAGAAAGATAACATGCACTGTTTTACTGATATATGTAAGCCATGTTTTGTTTCCCTCCAGAGACCAGGGCTGGGTCTAGAAAAAGCACCCCAAAATGAGTTTGGCCTTCCTTTCATACTAAGATAACCTATGTTGATTTTTGTATTTGACATGATCACATTTGATATTTGTGAATGAATATTTGTAAAGCTATAATAAATTATTTACCCCTTAGCAGTGTATTAAGGATAAATGTCCTAAGAAAGAAATGACCTAAAAAGGAATCTCTTTCTTGAGAGACAAACTAAAATTTCCCACGTGGTTTATTACTAATAACCATGAGTCTGTGAGGGGAACATCTCACTTATATATCAGCTCCAAAACAGATTCCAAATTACACATAAAGTATTGGCCAGGGGGCCCTTTATTAAAACTAACTTACAATACATTTAGAAGGATAACTCCTAATGCCATCTAGTAAACAAAAAACATAATTGCCTTGAACAATACTCTTTTTCTTTAGTACACATCTGTAGTACATATGTTTACATTCATTGTGAGGAATTGGTACATGTACATATTACATCTTAATTTCTTTTTTTGATCCCCTTTCCCTTCTCTCCTCTCTCCATCCATCTCGATTCCCTTATTCTGTACATGTTTTTAATACATGATGTTTACATTCCTTATGTGGAGTTGGTACATGTATGCAACAAATCTTAACACCACTCTTCTAGGCTGCCACTTTAACAAGAGCAGTTCTAACAAAAAATACCAAATGAAACTGTAAAATATGGTAATGTTGCAAGGCAAGAACAAACTCTCATTCCTTTTGAAAAGTCTCTCATAAGAAAAGGTATAACTCTTCTCCTTTTCTTGATTAGCCAGCAGACTATCATTTTCAAATTAAATTAAAATACCTCAAATGGTTATTTTAATATAAAGAGAAACTGCATTCTTAAAACCATCATTCTGAGAAGTCAACAGAAAGGGAATGTAAAGCAGAAGCATTTAAGCATTTAAGTAGCTGTTCAGGACAATAGAGAAGAATCACATGGCTGAACATGTCAAAGAACTAAGAGAATTAATTGTAAAGACATTAAATCCAAGTCTCTTGAGGCAGAGGTGGGAATAAACAAGGTCAGAGTACAAGAATAAACCAACAGAACTTCATTTCTGACCAACTGTGGATTTCAGGAAAAGGAGCAACTCAAAGATAACAGGTTTATGGCTTAAAAGACCATTATGTCTCAACAGAAATAAAGACATTAGGATGGGTAAGTTAAAGAGTTCAGTTTTAAAGGTTCTGATGTTTTAGATAAGAAACAATATCTAAATGTAAGTGCCTATAAATACACATGCAAAACTAAAGTATAGAATAAAGAATAAGGGTAAGAACTCAAAAAATAGATTTGGGGCTCCTTATAATGGAATTGACAGTTTTTTTTTCAATGCAGAATACAATGGTATCTTGGTTTATGAACTTAATTCTTTCCACACTGGCTGTAAACCAAATAAGATGAGAACCGAATCATATTCAATGGTTAGGTTTCAAATGTTGACCTTATAGAGAAATTCGATTCAGTTCTCGTACACTTGTTTGCAACCACAAGCATGTTAAGAATTAAGTTTGTGACTGAGGCATGAGTGTATACAAAAAAAAAAAAAAAAAAAGCAGAAAAGTAGTTGCCTAGATGTGAACTTCATCAAAAGCGTACATTTATAAGCAGTAAGAAGACTAAGGTTACTTGGCAAAAGATAATAGGAAAAATATACCCTATCTGGCTTCCTGATGAAATTTATAACCTGCAATAAAGATATTTTTAGGCTTGAATTTCATATTTAGGGCAGGAATCTTTCCCCACTAAAGCCAAAGCATCTGAGAGCACTGTGTTTGATGTTGATGGAAGGCTCACTCAATCCCTTTTTTCTTTTGAATTCATGTGAAGCCAGGGTTCTGGAGACAAAGTCAGCTCTGCAGTGGGATATTTAGAAGGTAAAACTGAGACAAGAGCTGCCACCTTGTACCTTTTCAGATATTGCTTGTGATAGGAAAGATCACAGGCATGTGAGATTAATTTTCAACAACCTTCTACTTTCCATCCCATTCCCCATTTCCTTGGAGTTTTGAGAAGTAATGATTAAAGTCATAGCCACTTGATTTGACTCTGTAATCCCTGGATTACAGGTGTCCCAATTTCAGCTTCCTGCTGTTACAGTGGTAGCAGCAGCTTCTAGTTTTTAGCATTCCTTAAATCCATTTCCTGTTTAGAAGAAAAAAGTGCAACTTGCTGTCATCACTCATTTAATTTTCAGGAATCAAGAATTCCTGTATTTTATAAATGAAAATATTACTACTAAAAACAGAATGCCATAAATACAGTCATGTTTCCATGACTGTTGATACAGTAGAGTGATGTGAAAATAGTAATAAAAGAGAGCTATTTGGTGGAAAACTTTTGGGGATAAGGTTATGACTGTAATCTGTAAGTTATCTTGAGGTAAACCCTATGGCTGTAAGCACTGTTGGTAAGTGCTTTTAGGGAAAAGAGGAAATGGGTTAAATAGTTGGCCTCTGAATTAGTAGCTCCTCTATGTGTGAATACAGTATGTAATTCTGGGAGTCATTTCTGAAAACTCAGCTGATAACCAGTTTTTTGAGGATTCAATAGTTATAGAAGCACCTAATCCCTATATTAAATTCCTTCTTATTTAGACTACATAGAGCAATTTCTGTTTCTTGAATACACATAGTATTTGGTGCATGAAGTGAGTGCAGAAAACAGACTTTCAAACTGTCAATAAAGAAACTTGGGAATAGATATGTAATGTTCTTAGATCTGAAGGTGATGACCACCTGTGTCTGCTGCAAAATGGTATCCTTGTAGTAGTCTATGCTATATTGAAGCAAGACAATTACTTAAATTACCACCTAAACTTTTCTGAGACAATGCTCATCAAACCATGGGACAAACCACCACAATGAGAACAGGCAAATAGAATCGTGGGGTAGATGGCTGCTTGTCTCCACTAGGGAGCTTTAAAAGGAAAAGGAAAAA